CCCCCCGTGCCCCCACCAGTTTTCTCAGTTCTCTGTGCGCTGAGGGCCAGATGGCTGACTTGCTCCCTGGCTCTGCTCTCCTTCTCCTGCTCCCAGTCCCAGCTGACCACTTTGTTTGTAATAGTCCTTGGAGGGGAATTACAACTGAGTATTAAATGTGTGGTTAAAGAAATCGCATTACACAGTGTGACTGTAAGGGAGATGTTTCCCTTTAATCTGTAATCCATGAAAGTTATTAGTTTAGTGAGCAGAGTGGCTAGGCACAGCATTTCCATTAAGATATAACCCTGAGCAGACCCATCACCTCCGCGCGGGCTGCAGCCCGAGCCATGGCACTGCACCCCTTGCTCCCTGGTGCAACCCTTACTTTGCTGGTCCTGATTATTTGAATGCCATTATCGCGTTAACATGGGGCTGTTTAACGTTGCAGAAAAGAAAAGGAAAAAAAAAAAATCACTCTTGATGGCTGATGTGCTCCTGTGAAATAATGTTTGTGTCATGTATCCTGTCCTACAGGTCTATGCAATATTAGTTAGTCACCCTCCTGCTCCCAACGATCACCTAACACCAACACCCGTATCATACACAGCTGGCTTCTACAGGATCCCTGTCATTGGTCTGACAACACGCATGTCTATATATTCTGATAAGGTAACTGATGCATGTTTCTAGTCTAGTACCTCATACATGTGGTGTAAATCAGGAGTGCCCATCAGGAGGGATAATGGTGTCTACACGACCCTGTCTATGTGTCTGTCTGTCTATCCACCCTCTCCAGTTAACCCAGCAGCTCCCTCTCCCTCTCTCCCACATTCCCTGGTACATTATTTTTTCGCAGCTGCCAGTGTTGACCTACATAGTGCCGGATGACTTCTGCAGCGCTTCTCTGCCAGGCTGCTGGGCTCATGGCTCTTCAGCCAAGGCAAATGCACAAACTAGCTCCTGCCCTGATCACTAGTGACAGCCGGGGGATCCTGGATGCTCTCTGGGTGCGAGGGGGATGTGGAGGGGCAGGAGGATCCCAGTGCAGCCTGTTCATTGGGCAGGAACTCTCTGGGGCTTTGAGATTGCCTGATTGTGTTCCCTTCTCTGGGTTTATATGGTGTTGGTAGAGGACATAATAGAATTGACTAACAAGTTATCCCGAGGCTTTAAATGACATTCTGTCTAGCCAGCGCTCAAGAAAGAGGTTCAAATTCCAGTGTCTTAAACCACTCTCTGCCTGTGGAAACAGAGAGACTTCCAAGTTGGATGACATCCTCCATGTGCAGGGGCTGGGGGCCGTGCCCTCTCGTGGGCAGTGAGGTGCTGCCCTGGCCAGCTCCTCCATCTTGCAAAGACACTTGGGGATTAGTTTTTAAAAAAGGAGGAGCTGAGCAGAGCCTGACAGATCACATGCCATTGCAGCCTTGGTGGAGGTTTTCACCAAAGTGCATGAGCTTAGGGGGTGAGATCAGGCCCATTTCGAAGCACGAATCGGCCTTTGCTTGGAAAATGTGAATATTCACAAATGCAAATATTCAGTGCAAAAATAGTCACTCCGCCTACATGCTAAATGAAGCCAAATTTCAGGAGGGAGGAGCAGAGGCTCCCAGAAATGCAGCCGGCAGGACTGCTTGACTGAAGCACCAGCAGGTCTTGTCATCTCCCACTGAGTAAAACCACAGTAGAACAACCAGCAAGCCAAGACCACGGCATGACAGCAACAGTGGCTGCCAGGGGCTGGGGACCTGCACGCCCTGGAAGGGTCCCGTCAGGCACTGTTAGAAGAAAAGGGTTGATAACAGAGCTGTCAGACTGAGGGAGAGGGCAGGCAGTAGGTATAAAATTTGCAGGGAGAATTTGGTTTGTGATGCCATGGGGAGGAGATCAGTCTGATCAGCAATGTCACCAAGAGGGGCCATGTCACAGTGCACACGGTGGCGGGGAGAGGAGACCCTGCCTGCTGTCAGTCCAGCTTCATCTCAGCAGAGCCATGCTCACCAAAGCTAACTGGCCCCCTTTTCCCAGCATGACCTTGTGCTGATTTGTGTGCTCAGGCTGAGGGGGTGGGAGCTTACTCAGCAGACTCTGCTTCAGCCATTTTTTTCCTATTTAAAACATGTTTTCTGCAAAAGTGGCTCATAAAAACCACATGGCTCACTTCAAAGCTGGAGAAGTAACCTACTGCGGCAGTGGCAACTCACTGCAGTGGCAGGGAGATGCTCCCCACAGAATATTTGGGGGCGTTGGGCAGGTGCAGGGCTGTGGGGTTCACATGCCTGGCAGACTCAGCAGGGAGGCCACACAGCAGGTCTCAGCCCTCCAAGCACTCCTGCCTGGATGGCCTCATGCTCAGCCTCCTTCCCACCAAGGCACCCAGGGGCTGGAGGGCTTCGAGCTCTCTGCAGAGAGAGGAGTTGCAGGCAGGAGATGGGGCAAAGGCAGAGACTGAGTAGTTAGAGGAGCAAGGACACTGAATAGGAGCTGGAGGGGACAGCAAAGATGGGAGTGGAGTGGAGTGGAGGACAGCAGAGCAAAGGGCCGTGAAGGCATGGGACAGGACAGTGCAAGGCGCTGCACACCCATGCAGGACAGGCTGGCTGGTGCAACACGAGGACATTCAGCTGGTTCCCTTTTTGGTTTCCAGTGATCAACTTGCCTGTTTTTTGGTTGTTTTTTTTGGTTTTTTTTTTTTTTTTAATTCAGGAAATTATATCTTTCAGCTTAGTTTCTATGGAAACAAGCTTGTAAAATCACTTTGTGTGTATGCCCCTGATTGGTTTTGAAGGCATCAGCCAATTTTAGCTAAATTTTACATGGGGTTGAAGTCTCAAAGTTAATTATGGTCCTCCCAAGTCTAAGCTGCTGGGGAGAGAAAAGTGTGGGCCTCAGCACAGACAGGTTTGCCGACTACTGTTTGATGCTCTCAGAGCATCTCCAGTCGAGCACAGCGGTCCACGAACTGTAGTCAGTCTTTCAACAAAGATAGCCCACAGAAAGAAAGCTTTATTGCTCCCAGTATTCAAAGAACTATTCGTTCTAGAAAGGTACTGCAGCTATCAAGCTATCAGGCTGAGCACTCTGGCTTGGCAAGCTTTGTTTGGCCTCTTTGTGTCTACATCTTACAAAATCATTACCTGTTTCTTCACCAAGATCCTCATGTCATTCAGCACAGTCCTGCCTGAATGGTGAGGGGGTCTCTGAAGTCAGAGTCACCTCTGAGGTGAGCAGGGAGCTGCAGGAGGAGAGAGGAGGGTGTCACAGTAAAGGCAGCAGAACGATACCCATTGCTGTAGTGTCCATCTCTATGGAGAGCTCTTCATGGACTGCTTATGGACTGAGCATTGCAAAAATCATGCTCTGACCTTCTCATGCTGGGTCCCCTGAACAGACAAGCTATTGCTTTAGTGGTTTTGTTCCCCATGTGTCATTGGAAGTATTTATATCTCCTTTACATCTCAGCTGAAAAAATGAGATGACATTGATGTCTTGACAATATGAGAAATATGAAATGACACTGAGAGCATTGAGAACATTGCTCATGGGGAAATGCACAGCTCAAGAGTCGGGAAGGTCTGGTGCCGTTCATCACCACCATGTGGGACACCCCTATGTGATGGGGATGAAGGGACATGCCAGGTGCCCCGAGGTGCTGAGCCCCACACTAATCCCCCGTTGAAGAGGCAGTGGAGGAACGAGGGTGGCTCTTAACTGATACCTGCTCTGCTGCTGAAAGAGGTGGAAAATGGAGTTTAGTCATTCTGCACTTGGAGAGACATTTCAATGTCTAGCAGCTTGTCCTGGTAGTTGAAATGAGCTCTGTCTCTCCCTTTCTCCCTCTCTCTCTCCAGCCTGGGTCTGGGGATGGCTTTTCCCTCTGGTTCCTTGTCTCAGTATAACCACTCCATGCCCTCCCGGGGGTTACTGCTCACTGTGAGGGGTATTTTTATTACTGGTCTTACTGGCAGACAACCTTCAGGAGAAACTGTATTATTCAGCATGGGAAGCTGCACTGAAAGTGGGGAGAAAAGTGATTCCCTTCGACCGAGATCAGGGTCAGGACTGTCACTGACACCTGCAAGAAGTGACTGGAGAGGCTGGTTAACATAATGAGATGTTTGCCCTGGGAATGGGTTTCACAGCCCCCGCTGACCACACAGCCCTCATCAGGGGTGGCCTGCAGTGTGTCAGAGCAGATGAGGGGCTCTGAGCACTGAAGCCTGTGCTAATGGCAGTGGTGGAGCCCACTCATCCCAGCGGAGGAGAGCTTTTCACAGGGTCTCAGGATTCAGGCTGGGAGGAGGACAGAGCACACCCACCACTCCACAAGTCTGCTGCTGAGGTGCTGGGCCATTTCCCAGAGGCTAAGTCCTCTCCTCCATGCACTGCAGTGAAAGGCAGACGATGCATTTGTGCCTGAGCTCCCCAGGTGTCTGCCCCACTAAAACCCTTCCCAGCACATGCCTAAGCTATTGCAGAGTTATCTCAGCTCCCTCCCACGTCCACAGCTATAACATGGGGCAGTGGGCAGCAGCTCTCTGATGGGCCTCAGCGACCTGTCTGCTGGCTGGCGGGCAGGCTGGGCAGAGCAGGGGACAGAGCAGCCAGGTTCCTTCCATGGAGACACTGACCAAAGCTGCTTTTTTGTACCCAGCTGATGATTTTTGGTAAATTATCAGCAACTTTATGTATTTGGATCTCTGTCAATCTCTTTGAAACTGCCCAGACAGATCAGTTTTGGAGTGCATTTCTAGGAAGGGGAGTGACCACATGATCTCCACAGATAATGAAAGAAAAGCACATTGTTTCCTCAAGCCTGTAGGAAACATTACTCTGCCAGCCATGGGCCATGAGCTGTGATGAGGCCTTAGGCAGATAGAGGTAAAGAAGATAGAAATCCTTTCACCCATGGACCTGTACAGGTCCTCATGTGGACACACATGCGCTGCCTGGTGGCCCCACAGCCCTGCCTGTACACTCCCTGTACATGTGCACATCCCCTACATACAGAAATTCCATCAGTGGGCCCCCACAGGTGCCCCCTCCCCCAGGCATGCCGTGGCCATGTGCAGACTGTTTGTGCACAGCCATCCAAGCACCCAAGCATGTTCCCTGCATGGGTACATGCACATTCATGCTTTCTGTGTGTGTACGCTCACATTTATGCATACAGAGAGTCCTTGCTTTCACACACACACACACACACACACACACACACACACACACACACACCCTCACCCCCATGATCTACTCAAACTCAGCTTCTCTTCGTATGTACTCATATCAACCAGGTCAGTACCACTAATAATTTGCAATTCCTAAGAGTCCTGACCCAGCACATGTCCTCGGACTCATAAGCACACTCACTCCCAGCCCCATGGGTTTCTGCCACTTGGAAGCCTGGATTCCTTCCCAACCTATATTACTTTTTGCAGAAACAGAATTAAGTGCGGAAGCACAGGGCTGAGCACTCAGGTTTTGGTGGAAATATAGGGAGGTATTGCAGAAAGCCGCTCTTTGACTCAGGGTTGCTGTCAGCAATTCCCACGCTCACATCCCAACCCTCCCAGCAGGCAGCAGGCACAGTCGGAGAAGAGCAAATTATATGAATCCTGCAAAGCATCTTAAAAAGGCAAACTGCTGATGTGTAATTAGGAGCATTTTTTTCTGTATGCCTGATCTGAGGGGAGTGGAGCAGTACATCGGGGACAGTGCTGATGAGCAGTGCAGCTGAAATAGATGTACAGTTGTCTCACATAGGCTGTGTTAAAAAAATCAGGCCTTTATAACAGTAATTTGCCTAAACCTGTGCTAATTATGATGCCTGAATCACTACATCCACATGCGTTCCATTATGGCCCCATGTGTCCATGGGCTGCTTGGCCCAGGAAAGCTCTGTGATGGGTTTCAGAGGGACTTGCCAGAGACCTGTGAGAAGTCACCGCATACGCTGTGATAGGGGTTACCAAATCACACACAACCTGATTCCCAACCACCTCTGCACATCACAAGTTGGACTTGTTAACCTTTGGGGGACTCTACTTTCATCTTTCTGCTGATCTTTGGGCCCTGCAGAGAAGTTCAGGAATTCCAGGTGCTTCAAAAGCTGAGCAGTGTGAGTGCTTACCCTGAAATCTGGACTCAGCATTTGTGATTTGTTCTTCATTATCCTATTTAAGAACTACAGTTCTGTAATCTGAGACCTGAGACATCATCACAGCAAGTCTATGGTCCTTTTGACACCACCTCAGAAAGCAAATTTGCCTGAACTGTTAAACTAAGTTCTCCAACGATTTTGCAGTAAATTTTTTTCATCTGAACCTAATGATAGGTTACGATAGGTTAAGAAAGCCACAATCAGTTTAAACAGTATTTTTGCAAGCTAGTTGGGAAACTAGAAAATAATTTGATGCAGTATATTGAAATTTCAAAGATGTTTTAATTTCAAAAAAGGGTTTGAAATAATTTTGTTAGCATTTTTATTTTTTTAGCCTATATTTTTCTGCCTTTTTTTTTTTTTTTTTTTTTTTTTTTTATTAGCTATTCCGGGTTTTTTTCATTTCTTTCCTCTCCTCTGACTTTTTTTCCATTTCCATTTTAATTTTTCCTGGATTTCCTTGAAATGTTTAAAAATGCTCAGGGATCTTGTGTGCCCCTGGCCCAAGCTGTCCATCTGGACCTGGAAATCCCTGGGCATGTCTGCTAACTCCAGAGAGAGACTGAGCACCGTGTTGGTGTGGAGACCATAGCTGTCCTTCCATTGTTTGTCCCTTTGGGGCTTCTTCCTGATTCTGTTGCTCAGCACTGGGCTTGTGGGGTGAGCTGCATTTCTCCTGCTCTTCATGTAATTGGGAAGGTTTGTATCAGTTATACAAAACTGCAGCTCTGAGATGCTTGTTATGGGTGTCCTGGTTCATTTACTCCTTTGATTAAGCATCCACAGTTCTTCTCAGTCCCTTCAGTAATTAGGAAATGATACCGGTACTTTGGTATTTTTGCTGCTGCCTCTGTCATTTCTGTGTTTTGGGCTACAGCAGCAGAACAGAACCATCTCAGTACAGAGAGACCTGACCATGACAGGGATTTTTAATTATTTTCTATATTTTGCATGGTTTGGTTTGACTTTATTACCATGTCGAGGGTGAGGAAAAGGCATTATCTGGTCTGCCTTTTCCTCCTGAGCAGAACCATGGTGGCCATGATGTCTTTTCCCTTCCAGCGTGAATTACTTGGGCCCATTCAGGACTATTTCTGACCCATGTTGGGTCCAGCCTCTGGATGAGCAGGTCTGGACAAGCCCTGTTTGGTCGAGAGGACCATCCCAGCCTTAAAGAAAGAAATATTATGGTGCTTTCTTTTTTTGTTCTCTCCTTTTCCTTTTTCTGCCTCCCTCCAGCATGTAGGTGGTTTGTCAAGGAGCATCCATGCTGAGCATAAGCACTTTCATTTTCTAATGTTTGACTCTAGGGCATTTTGGAAAAGCTGCATTTTTCAAAACCTCTCTGTCAGCTACAGCTTTTGGTCCAATTGTTCCCCTAAGAGTGCTGTACTTAATTAGGCTGGAATTGCTATTGCTCAATCATCCAACCATGATGATGTCTTTAACCAAATTGGATGGGTTAGCCGGGACATGGGTCCAGAGCTGCATCCTCCTGTGTGCTCTGCAGAACAGGCTGACCTAGAAACAGCCAAACAGCGTATTATAAAACTGCTTTTCTGAACTTCTCTTGTGACAAATAACTAATATATCTGCGTGTACCTGCAACTGCTCCTTGTCACTCTCTAAAGGGAATGAATTTTCTTTTTGATGTCCATTGGTAAGTAATATTTTCAAAAAGTCAAGAGGAAAGGCTATATTTGCACTGAATGTTGCTGACAGTTCATTGCTGGATAGGCTTTTCTTCACCATGAATTTACAGACCACAAAGCAAAAATGTCTCTTTGCCATGCACTGGATTGACCAGAGAGGTACAAAATCATAGCCAGGATTTAGTTCCAGCCAGAAGAAAGAAGTGCAGGTCCCAGAGCCTAGGTCTACCAAAAGTGCCACCCAGACATCTACCAAAGATTGCTGCTCTGCCTCTTTGGCCCTGCGATCCCAGCCCTGTCCCTGCACACCTTCCCGGTCCCCGAGACGCACCCTGGCTGAAAACCCAACCAGTCTATGTTGAGCTCTTGTTCTTCCTTGCAGAGCATCCACCTGTCCTTTTTGCGCACAGTCCCACCATACTCTCACCAGGCCAACGTCTGGTTTGAGATGATGAGAGTCTTCAACTGGAATCACGTTATCCTGATAGTCAGTGACGACCACGAAGGTCGTGCTGCACAGAAGAAGCTGGAGACCCTCTTGGAGGAGAGAGAGTCCAAGGTCAGTTCCTGAACATTGTCTTGTAGCTTTGTTTAAGCAACAACAACAAAACTAGAAGTCTCGGGCTGTTGTATGTATGTAGATTTCTGTATGTAAAACACCTTTTCTTTCCATTGTAACATGGCTAACATGCTTAAAGCATCAACAGTGTCTGACTAGTACCTGACAGAACTTTGTACTTTATTCATTTCACTTGCTTTGCCATGGTCAAAATCTCCTACATGTAAATCGACTACAAAATGAAGGGAAGGATAACCTGGAGCTCTGCAAATGCCTCGCCCAAGATTCCCACCTAAGGAGAGGACCAGTCGCTCAGCTTAGGGAAGCACCTGCCCCACTACAGCCACCCAGGGGCCAGGCAGACCCAGCAGTGCCAAACCAACCCCGAAAAGCAGCTTCTGAATTGGCTAAATGGAGCTCACCTTAGTGGCTTAGGAGGGGCAAGGGCAGCTGGTGCATTGATGCACTGAGGTATAATGCACCCTCTCTATAAAGCTGTCAGCTCTGCGGCTGCAGGCTGACGCCCCCGTTCCCATCTCCATTGAAGCACATGCCAAACGCTGCTTTCCTGACACCTCATGCTGTTACGAGAGGGCGGTTGCGGCTGGCGGGAGCAGCTTTATCGAGGAGGTGCACTGCACCTGCACTCAGGGCCATGCAGGGGAGCAGGGAGGGAGGCAGGGGAGGTCCCCGAGCCTGCTAGAAATTCAGGAGGATTACCATAGGCCTGCTGCTGTTGAGTAAAAGGACTGAGCAAGTGTTCAAGACAAGCAGGGAAGGAGAACACAGGGAGCCATTCAGCTTCAGTGCTTCAAAGGCAGGCGCCTGTCTGGAAGGCAAGGAACCACCTCCTGCCCGACAGGATGAGGTCCCAGCACGTCCTCTTGCCCAGAGCAGGGTGAGGTCCCCTTAGGGTGGGCAGAGCCCGAGCTCATTTCCAAGTCTCCAGCAGCGTCAGGGCAGGCACCCATTCCTGGCTGTTCCCTCCTGGGCAGGGACAAGCACCTGCTCTTCTCCAGCCCCACCAGCAGCTGCTGGACATTTGGCAGTTGGCTGTTGAGATGTGGCCGTAGACCTTTCTTGTACTGAGTTGGAGGCTGAGCTGAGAGACCAGAGAGAGCAGCCTGTCTCTGCTCTTCATCACCTCTTGTCAAGCCACTGGAGGAACAACTGGTGCAGGGGCGTGGGCTGGCACGAGCCACACTGACCAACAGGCTTTTGTTTTTGGCAGTGGTTTCCAAGAAGTTTCATCCTTGCTGCATCCTGGGCCATCGTGAGACACTGGTGTGGCACCAACCATGGTGGGATCCTCCTGCCTCCAAAGGCAGCTTCCCGCTGGGTGACAGTGGGCCAGTATTTCTTTCCAAAACCTCTTCCCAGCACAATGTCCCTCACCCAGGGACAGCTGTGGAAAGGTTGTTCCCACTGTCAGTTTGTTGTTCCTTTCCTTGCATCTTTTGATTTCCACTTTCTGTTTTCCTGCAGCTCCCGTGCACCCCCTTTTGCCACTCCCTCTCATGCCTCCACTCCCTGCTTGCTCCATGCAATGCTTCCAGGCACAGAGTGTATTTCTTCTTCAGCCTGCCCATCCTACAGGAAAGCCTTTGAGATCTGGGGCTTGAAAGATGGGGAGGGAGGGTCTGTCTTCAGACCTGTCCCACATTTGCACTGCATCTACAACATGTCTTGGTGTCTCCTGGCAGCCATTGGGCTACTGCAAAAGCCTTGGCTGTCCTCCAGCCTGAGACATGTGCTCTGTGATGGTAGGTCACCTTGTCTTCCCTTTGGGGTGTGCCACCACATCTTGTTTCTTTTTCCTTTGAGGAGCTTATTCTGGTCAACTGACTGGTCTGACTGGTCTTGAAGGTGGTAGATACCCACATTGGGGCTTTTCTGTCTTCCTCAATCTCTTCTGCTGTCTAATTGCTCTTCTAATCACTGGTGTGCTGACTCTCTTCATGCCATCATGTGGTACCCTGGACCCTTCCCCAACCTCCTCAAGGGCAGCCTGGGCCTTGGGGAGGCAGCAGGCAGGAGACCTGCTCTCAACCTCTACAAGGCTTCTGTCACAGCCCCTGAGGACCTGGGAGACCTGCTATGGGTCAGAGACTCACCTGCCAACCTGAGCTCTTGGATATGAGCATAGCTTTTTCCCTGGAGTCTGCGCCGGCGCTGGATCTCACTCTGGCACCCTTGAGTAGATTTGCACTTCAAGCAGGCATTTGGAGCCCAGCACTCGGGCCAGGCTGGCCAGCCCTGCATACCCCAGGTGCTGGCCTTATCTTAGGTCTCTCTACAGTAACTCTCAGCCTGGAGCTACTGCTCCTCCCAGCACAACTCTGCTCATTCATATGGGCAGGCCACCATTGCACCAAGGCTGCTCGGGTACAGGAGGGAGTGCCAGACGCTGTGAAAATCAGTCTGTCCATGTCAGAGGTGGCAGATCCCTGGTGTGTGGCTCCCTTTCTCTGGGACAGTGACATGCATGAAAGGGATAAATTTTTGAGTGAGTGCTGGAGAACATGATGGAAGGTGAATTTTGAATTTGTGGGTCCCTGTGTGAAACACGGGCTGAGCAGTAGGGAAGGGCTGCAGGACCACATGGAAAAAATGGGAAAGAGAGGAGACATTACTGGTCTAGTTCTGGCAATAGGGATAGTGACAAGGAAAGGCAGAAGTGATCAGGTGCCATCAGGTCCAGCTTTTCCACACCCAAGACTGCTGAATTTTGCTGACCAGTTTGGTTCAAGGTGCCAGCACATCCCAGGCACACATGGCAATTCATGGCTAGAGGCTGCAAGATGGATGACAAAGTTTCTGGCTAAATTGACAGTGGTTGAGGAGAAGTGGCCAATATCTCATCACTGGAGAATATTCATGCTGTCCTGCTGCAGCTCTGCTCTCCTTGGAGGCAGTTGTTACTCCAGATCTCAGTGTGATCTGGGCAGACTCTAAGAAGCCATTGCAGAAATCTTCACCATGGACATCATCAGAAATGAAGGCAGACCTGGGCTCCAAGCAGATTTTGCCTCCTCAGATACTTTTCCTTGCAAGGACCCAACTTCTTTGAGCAATGAAAAACCTGTCATGCTGTGTCCAAGGAGAAGAAAAGAAAGATCATACAGCTGCACAGAAAGGACATCTGGCAATATGTTCTGCCAAAGACTGTTCTGAGTGCTCAGGAAGAAGCAAGCTATTTAGTTTGGAAAGCAAGATGCAGAGATAAAACCTGGATGCCTAAGGAACAACCTGGGAACATGAACCCCTGCATTATGGGGATGCAGAGGGTTGGGCTCTTGGCAGGATCAGTTGCCATTGCCATAAGATGCTGCAAACTGGAGATCAGAATAAATCTGTGTCCCATAACCCCATACACACAGATCAGGGATGCCCAGGTGGGGTGGGATGGGGCCAAGGAGGTTGGACTATGTTCCACCAAACCTGCCAAGCACTATCTTGCAGGCACTATCAGGTTGATGTTATTGGCCTGACCACAGGGACTGCTCCCAGGAAGATCCGTGGGGCTCTGTGCATGCTGCTGCAGGGTCAAGGTTCCTGAGAGCAGAGGAGGCTCACTCCCTGGAGGAGAGGAAACCTCCAGAAGTAGGGTTCATACCCCTGACTCCTTCGGGGCCAAGCAGAAGAAGTGGCTCAGGCAGGAGACAAGGGATGGAGCAGACTCTCTGCTCCACTCTGTTATCTGCAGGATCAGTGCATGCTGAGCCACCTGCCCCTAGTTCAGGTGTGATGCTCAAGCCAGCAGCATGGAGACCACCAAGCAGTGAACCCCACTAGCCAAATGTAGCGTCAGGATATGGGCACCGTGGTCTCCGGCAGCTGCACCTCCCAAGGTCACCTGTGTGCCGCAGAGCCAAGAGGTGCCCTTGGCCCTCCCCAAAAGCTGCAATGTCATCCCATGATCACCATTGCTTCATATTGCCACGCTTTGAGCCAACACGGGACATAGAGAGCTTTTCTTTCTCTTTTGGATGGCAACAAAGCTCAAAAAATCTGCTCCCTCCTTGCAGGGGGTGAGAAGTTCAGCTGAGACACCTCACTTGCTGTGAACTTTCTTAGGGTGAACAGGATTGTAATGACAATAGTGACGGTAGCAATGCTAATACTCTTAACTGTAACAGTTTGCGTTTATCCAGCACTTTCCGTATACAACATTTTGTCATTTACTTCCACAGTAATTCCATGGAAATTCCATCACTTAGGCCCTTAGAGATGCGTAGATTGTTTCTGAGTTTAAAAAATTTCTTGCTGAAGAATTCCCCAGTCCCACAAGGGAAATGCAACTGCATCGCAACAGCTGTGACACTCAGGCTTGCTCTAACCGATACGGCTTTGCACCGTGACGCTCCCGTGAGAGCTGAGGCACTCTCTCCTGATAGTGGTTTTTGCGAGCTCCAGCGTTATAGAGACCCTTTAGCAAACAGTGGAGGAGGAGGTGGATGTTGGATTGCTTTACTACACGTCATTTTCAACTGTTTATAATATTCTTCTGTGTCTACATATTTTCTCTGTGCACATTATTCATCAGAGTAAAAAAAGGAACTATGAAAACCTCGACCAACTTTCCTATGACAACAAGCGAGGACCCAAGGTATATATGCATGGAAATGCACGCCGCCCACCAACCTAACTAGCAAATGAAAAATAGCCACAGCCACCAGAAAAATAAAAAAGAAAAAAAATAAAAAAGAGAAAGAGAAAAAAAAAGAAAAGAAAAGAAAGAAAAAAAAAAAAAGATCCATGACTATGTTTCTTGGTAGCACGTTTTATGTTGAGATAGTTTGGTTTGGACTTGAGAATGGAAACCTAGCCAGCTGACCCTGGAAGGATTTCTTTTTGAAACATGCATGTGAACCAGTAATTAACTTGCAAGTTTGTTTTTTTTTTTTTGAAAAGTTGAACCAACCCCCTTTCCTCCCCAAAGGAAACGGTTCCTTGGTGTAAGTTGCTCACTTTTACTCCCAAAGGTTAACCCTGTGCGATATGTTTTTTTTCATTTCCCATGTTTTTGAAAAACAACTCTCGTTTGAGTTTTCAATTGCATTTCAAAGCCTTTTTCTCTTTCCTGTACAATGCACGCCTCTTTTTGGGTCTTGATTGACTTCAGTTTGCATGCACAGTGCAAAAAAAAAAAAAAAAAAAAAAAAAAAAAAAAAAAAAGAGAAAGGAAGGAAGGAAAGAAAGAAAAGAAAGAAAAGAAAAGAAAAAAAAGAAAAAAATAGCTATAACCAACCTTATTTGGCAGAGTTTTGTACAGTTTAATGAATTCTCTTGACCCTTTTCTAGATAGCATGGCTCTCACAAACAGTCCTGGGTCTCCCACACTAACCACCTTTGCTCACACTAATCACAGGCTGAGAAAGTGCTTCAGTTTGACCCTGGAACCAAAAACGTGACATCACTGCTGCTGGAGGCTAAGGAGCTGGAGGCGCGCGTCATCATCCTTTCTGCCAGGTAAGGCAGAGCCACCACTTCCCCTCCCTACTGTGATCTCCTCACTCTCCCCTTTGCAGTGCTGCTGAGCACTGGAGTCCATGCAGAATATGGGGCTTGTTGTCCTTTCAAGGAGCATGAGAGAAAACCCATAAAGCCCCACGTTCCAGGCAGTTGGTGGATGCTGTGTTTTGCATGCTGTTGGCCAGGGAGCTTGCAGTCATGAGCATGGTTGAGATGCCTGGCTGTCCTGCAAAGTGTGAGCAGCTGCAGAAGCAGCAATAGCTACTCAAGATGTATCCTGATCCACCTGTCAAGGAGGGGAGTCTTATTGCCCCTGTGCCTATAGATGGTGAGTGATAAGGAATGGGCCAGATCTGTGGATGCTCAGCAGTGCTGGGTGCTGTGGGATTAGATGAAGCTGAGAGAAACGTTCCCATTGCATCAAGGAATTAGCCTTTGCCCAGGAGAGCCAGTTATCAGAGGAAGGGTACCTGGGGATGTGTTTTCCCTGGTGCTGCCACCCCCTTGGGATCTGACACAGGAGAAAAGGGGCCATCCGGCAGCCGAAGCCACATTGCCGTTCCCTTCTTTTCGTTGCAGTGAGGATGATGCGGCCACGGTGTACAGATCAGCAGCTATGCTCAATATGACAGGCTCCGGCTACGTGTGGCTGGTGGGGGAACGGGAGATATCGGGCAATGCCCTGCGTTACGCCCCTGATGGTAGGCACCCGCCGGAGGCACGAGTCCCTCTGTCAGCCAGGCTCAGAGGAGCCTGGTCGGAGCTGAGATGGGTGGCACCTGCCCTCCTGGGGACCCCTTGGGCTGGGAGAATGCGATGCCATGGTGGTCCCAAATGAGTGGAGGGTCCCACACGTTGCTTTCCACTCCCTTTACCCACACAGGGAGACAACAGTCCAGCAGCCTTGGCCATGCTGCCATGCCCCAAATCCAGTTCACTGGGGCTTTGCCAGCTGACTGTCACGTGGGGGAAAGGCTTGGGCCATGCAATGGGGATGGAGCACAGGGCGTCAGCAGTCCATGTAGCTGTCCCCAGTCCCCGTCCAGCAGGCAGGACGGTGCCAGCCCCAGCATTACTGCAGCCATTTCTCCTGCCTGTCCCTGCCTGAAGCTCAGGCAACTCCCCAACTACATCCAAGGGATCCTCACCCCATAACCATGTGCTTGGTGGTCCCCAGGCCCTGTGCATGGGAGTAGCATTGGAGCAGCAAGGGTGCCTCGGGGTGCTGACCTGCCTCCTCCTCTCTACTCGTGGCAGGTGTGATCGGTTTGCAGCTCATCAATGGGAAGAATGAGTCAGCCCACATCAGTGACGCTGTTGCGGTGGTGGCCCAGGCTGTGCATGACTTGTTTGAGAAGGAGAATATCACAGACCCACCACGGGGCTGTGTGGGCAACACCAACATCTGGAAGACAGGACCCCTTTTCAAGAGGTATTTGAGAAAGGGTCCTGCTGGAGGGAGCAGAGGACCTACTGGGGGAGAAGCTGGAAAAGGTGGGAGCATGTGAAAAAGGTGCAGGAGGGCAACATGGTAGCTTTGTTCAGAGTATCTGTCATTAAAGCTTTGGGGCATGTGTCATAGGACTGCTTGGACTCTCCTGCATGATTTGTATGTGAGGGCTACATCTCTCCTAGAAAACTAGCCAGGACAGGGGCTCAAGCACTGGCCCCCAGTTTGTCCAGGCTGTTTTAGGCATCATCCTGGTGCCTGTCACCAATTCAGGCAATGCTTGTGCAGCTGGGACCAGTGTGGGCAGGGAGCTACTCTAGGAGGAAGAGATCTGAGGACCATGATCTCCTCTAGTCCAAATCTTAATTCTGTGGGTTGAAGAGAGGAGAAAGGGGATTTTCTGCCAAATCAGGGTGGGAGGATATTTCTGTCAAATTGGAGCTCAGTGCTGTGGACATGTTTATTGCTGAACATTTCAGGACTGCAGCATGGATCAGCTGTGGTTTTGGGTGGTAGGATCTCAGCAGATCAGAGCATGCGCATGCTGGATCCTGCTGCTGTGGGCAGTGTGATCGGCAGATGCTGCATGCACTTCCCAGAACCCAATCTTTGTGCTGCGTGGGGTTTTGTGCTGCAACACTGCAGATGCTGGAGCCACAAGGGCCTCTTCTGCAGGCTGGGTCTTGATAAAGCAGCAATTCTCTTTGCATCAGGGCTCCCTGTGTAGGAGGGCTGCTCTCTTCAGTGCACAACCTGGCACCAGGATGTTGCATTTGGCAGCGGGATCTTGTGCCGGGGGTTGCTCTCTGCAGACATGGTCATGGTGTCTGTGGGATGCCCTTTCTGTCGATCTGTGTTCTGGTGAACATGGGACCTGAAAAGCCTGAAGATTTAGAAAAATTTCTGACATCCTCTGCAGTGACACAATCTTTGGCATGAGTTATTCAAAGTTGTTCTCTGAGGTGCAGGGCAAGTGGCTCAGGCAATTCTTCTGTGTCTTCACTACTGTCTTTTGAGGATTTGGGAGGGCTGCTTCTCCCCTTGGTGGTGTATGTGCATGTCTGAGGCCCTACGCAGACTGTAATGGGCTGGTGCCAGATGGAAGCACCATGAGCAGTGACATGGATACAGCTCCCAGGGGACCCCCAGAAGAAGGTGTCCTCGGGTGCTGTGGGACAGGTCATTCCTTAAGGGAATGGGACTGATCTGGTGAAAAACAAGGGGCAATGACAACAAATACAGTAGTGCAACAATCAAGAAGCGGGGGGTAACCCAGGTATCCCCCCCAGGAGGGGATAACCACAGGTCTGTGAACAGACCATAGGTAGCCTTGATTGGACTTCTATAGGGTAGTGAGCATATGGCAGGCAACCAAGAAAAACCATTTGCCTGATGCCTTCTTAGGTGTCCCTATGGCCACAGCAAGTTTTCTAGGTTGGCCTCGTTCTCTTTCTCTCCATAGGGTGTTGATGTCCTCCAAGTACTCAGAGGGTGTCACTGGACGGGTAGAGTTCAACGAGGATGGGGACAGGAAGTTTGCCAACTACAGCATCATGAACCTGCAGAATCGGAAACTGGTTCAAGTTGGGATTTACAACGGCAGCCATGTACATACAGGCCTGGACAGGTTGGGTAGGAGGGGGGTGTGTGCTGGGGCATCTACCTATGGCCTCACGTCTATCTCCTTCCTCTGGGATTGATCACAGGTCTTGACCAACGACCGGAAGATTATCTGGCCAGGAGGAGAAACTGAGAAACCTCAAGGCTATCAGATGTCGACCAAGTTGAAGGTAACAGCAAATGGCATTAGGGGGTGGCGGGTCTCTTCAGCTCTCTGCATGCAGGGCTGTGGCTTTATCTGCCTCCCACTTCCACTGCTTCATCTGCAGCTGTCATCAGTATTTGAAAACCCAGGGCACCTGCCATCTCAGAGAGGATATAGCAGAACAACTTAGAGAAGGTACGGGAGGGTGTTCAGAGCTAGAGCACAACTTCCAACTGGACACAAACTAGATAAGGTGGCAGGCATCCTTTGGTTTGGAGAGGGATATCTGGAAAGGGGATATGAGAGAGAACAGTAGAAAAGGGATGAAGGGTTAAGTGTTCACCATTCCTCATGGCTTGGGAGCCAGAGGGCACCCAGAACAGGTTTGCAGGAAATACAAGTACAGGCTCCTTTGGCCAAGGCATTGTTCCGTTCTGGAGACTGCTGCTGCTAGACAGTGCAGAGATCATAAGGAAACAGGTTCAAGAGGAGATTTAACAAGCCTGCAATGTTTGGCTTGGGAAATCCCTGAAGAGCTGATGGCCAGAAGCTGAAGGTGACATTGGAAAAAGGTCCCTCCACTCTTGCTTTGCTTCTCATCCCATTCGCTTAAGTGTAGCCCAGCAGCCACTTTAGTGACTGGATCCTGGGCAGGCTAGTCTTACCAGTATGACTGTTCCATTGTCCTACTGTCCAAATCACACATTCCCAGGGTCAGTGAGCCCTTATTCCTGCAGAGGTGGTGCAGATGCATTGGGATGCTGCTTTGCTGAAAAGGTCCAGGGCAGGACTAAAATATCTGCATTAGCTTGGGGCAGTATGACAGTGTTTGGAGCACCATTCAGGGCACTAATCCTGACTATGTGGTGGCTCTCATCAGTCTGCTGTTAGGGAGATGGGTGTTAAAGTCTTTGAGGCTGAGGTGAAAGTGTCACACAGAGGAGGATGCCGATATGGCTGTTCCTCATCTTGGGTGAAGCAAATGTTCCCCATGCCAAAGCCAGGTCCTGCTGCTGGGCTGAGCGGTCTCATGTTTTGAGATGGCAGCTGTGGAGGGCACCACGGCATTGTGACCATGCTTGCGTGGAGAGAGGAGCCCAGCTCCCCACCCAGGAGAACATGGCTCTGGAGGGGAACTAAGACAAGTGGGAGTTCATGCTTTGCCTCGCAGATTGTGACAATCCACCAAGAGCCCTTTGTATATGTGAAGCCCACGCAAGCAGATGGGACATGCAGGGAGGAATTCACCATCAATGGAGATCCTGTGAAAAAGGTCTTTTGCACTGGACCCAACGAGACCATCCCAGGTAACTCAGTCTGGTTGTGAGCGCAGTGGCTCCCCCAGCCTTCCCAGCTGGTGAAGACTCCTATCCAAAGAAGGGTCCCCAGGGACTCATACAGGATGCCCAGAGGATGAGGAGCAGAAAGCTGACAGCCCATTCAGCCCCTAAGTGCCCCCTGTCAGCTCAGCCCCACAGTAGTGCTGTGCAGTAACTGGGAACTGGGATTCAGGGTTTTGACCCCAAAAGATGGCTTTCCCACTGTCTCTCTCCTGGGTGGGCTCCAGGGCTGTTCTGGGGGATTGCATCCCATGTTTCTGTCTCCTGACATGTTCCAATTCTCTTTGCCTTGATCTCAAGCAGAAGTGAGAACCCTGAAGTACACCAGCACCTGCTGCACTGGTACTAACACCAGTTTCACACCATTTTATAATGGAAAGTCTGTTTCAGTATTAGGTGTGAGCACCTGGTGGAGTGTGTGAACTGCTTAGCAATGCCAGGCTTGCCCAAATCCACCTGAAATGCATCCCCTTGGCCCATCACACTTTCCTGTGCACAACTCCCCCTTGCCAGCCCCGAGTTGTGTCCTGTGCTGTGTTCAACCTGATGGATTCATGTTAGCCTTCCTCCAGCACAGCCTGCATGCACCAAGCCCTCTCTGTCCCCTGCAGTGGGTCTCAGCACCAACTCTCAGCACACCTCACTGGGACACAGCAAATGAATGAGACCCCTTTGCCCCCACCTTGACAGCACCCATTGGTGATGGAGGCAGTGGGAGAGGGTGGTCAAGGACCCTGCCTGAACGATATGATCACATCTGATGTGAAACCAGAGCCATGCAGGTGGCTGCTCTAGCGGTGGACAGCCTTGGATCCTGCATGGGGTCCTTGGCAAAGGGCTGCCTCCGCTCATCCCCCCCATTTTCTCCCACCTGCAGGCCGCCCCACCGTGGCACTGTGCTGCTACGGCTTCTGCATCGACCTGCTCATCCGACTGGCAGGGGTGATGAACTTCACCTATGAGGTTCACCTGGTGGCTGATGGTAAATTTGGTACACAAGAGCGGGTGAGTTTGGGCAGCCTGTGATACCTCTTTGCCTGTATCGTGTGTTGAAGCCTCCCCAGGCCTTTCGCTGATGCAGGAGTGGGAGGGCAGTGCAAGGTGCCTGCCACATGTGTGAGGGTCCTGGCTGGTGGGCTTCAGGTGCCAGGGCAGTGGGCTGATCCTGCACTGGCTTGCTGGCAGGTTAACAACAGCAACAAGAAGGAGTGGAACGGGATGATGGGGGAGCTGCTGAGCGGCCAAGCAGACATGATTGTGGCTCCTCTCACCATCAACAACGAGCGGGCACAGTACATTGAGTTCTCCAAGCCCTTCAAGTACCAGGGCCTCACCATCCTTGTGAAGAAGGTATGGGCTGGGATGGGATGTTTTGTAGAACAGGGTACGTGCCCTTTGCTCCCCAGCTTGCAGACACCTGCCATGTCTGCACCATGCCCACCCCACCCAGGCTGCACCCCTGCCCACCCCAGGGCAGCCGCGGGAAATCCTAGCCTTTGCAGTGGGATGCCAGCCTCCAGGCTGCTGGTTTTAATGCTGGGTCTTGCTTCAGCCACAGAATCACAGAATCATTCAGGTTGGAAAAGCCTCTCGGGATCATCGAGTCCAACCATCAGCCCAACTCTACAAAGTTCTCCCCTACACCACATCCCCCCACAGCTCATCCAAACCACCCTGAGCCTTCCTGTGTAACAGCAGGAGGAACTCAGATCAGGACAGGGGGCCTTGTGAGTCGAGCCAGGTTGGAAAGGTGCAGGCGTGATGGGTGCCAGTGCTGTTCACCTCTCTTCTGTGTGCTAGGAAATCCCTCGCAGCACCTTGGACTCATTCATGCAGCCTTTCCAGAGCACACTTTGGCTGCTGGTGGGGCTGTCTGTGCACGTGGTGGCAGTGATGTTGTACCTCTTAGACCGCTTCAGGTAAGTGTGCTTTGGGTCACCCAAGGGCTGGGTGGGACAGAGAGGTGCCCCTGGGAACTGTCCCCTGGATCCCTGCAGTGTCTTGCTTAGGCACAGCCCTGCAGCCCTTTGGGAGGCTCTCACAGGAGCTGAGCCTAGACCCCTGGCCTCTCTGCCTGCTGCTAAACTGGGAGATATGGATATGTGTGGTACCCAGCACCTGGATATGTGGGAATATCCCTGTCAAACCGGGTGCCATGCTGGTGCCTGACCAAGGGGACTGTCAGTTCCTGTACTCTGAGTTAGTCCCCTTCCTTGGCCCCAGGGCAGCTCCTCTGAAGGACAGGGAGCCTGTCCTCACCTTAGCCCTGTGCCCAGAGGCTTTTGCAGTTAATCTGCAGTGAGTCTTCCGTGTTGCAGTGAGAGACTCGTGAGCTGGTCAGGATCAGGTGATCCCCCTGGCCCAGAGAGAAGCGTGATGGCACCAGTACCCGTGTGAGCCAGACAGGGTTGCAGATCAGCAGAGGGGACATGAGAGACAGTGGGATATGAGGGATGAAGAGCAAGGTGGGATATGAGGGATGAAGAGCTGTTTGGTACACAAGGCACAGTCTTTAGAGATGAGTGATGTCGAGGGGTATCAGGACACTTAGGGCACAGTGGAGAGCCCTGGGAACCGTGATGGGGGTTATGAGAAAAGCTCTGTCTTGTTTTACAGTCCATTTGGCCGGTTCAAAGTAAACAGCGAGGAGGAGGAGGAAGATGCCCTGACCCTCTCCTCAGCCATGTGGTTCTCCTGGGGAGTCCTGCTGAACTCTGGCATCGGAGAAGGTGCGTCACAGCACACAGTGGGACAGCCCTGCAGCCCCAGCCCTGAGCTGGTGGGGACACTGGGGTGGGGGAGAAGCCCATGCCCTCCTCCACTGCCTCACTCTGTGGCAGGGCTGATGTCCTGGGGATCATCCCCTGAGCCTTCCCTGGAGCAGGCTTGTAGGAGATTCGGTGATGCTGGGGGCGCAGACCATCCTGCCACTCCTCACCATCAGTGATGGGAAATGGGTCTTTCTTGGACTGCTTCTCCTGCCCAGGGTTACCCAACCACTCAGGGTGAGACATATTGTGCCCTAGAAAGAGCTGGGTTTTTCTTGGTTTGAGCAGTGCAAAAGCTCCTTGCACAGCTGCCATCAGAGCAGATGGTGCACATCTGCAGCTGCCATTGGTCTCAAGAGGGATGGACACAGCTTTGGTGACTAAGTCAAGCCCTTGTCATGCCAGTCTGATCTTGCCTCTCTCCTTCCAGGTGCTCCCCGGAGTTTCTCTGCCCGTATTCTTGGCATGGTGTGGGCTGGCTTTGCTATGATCATTGTGGCTTCATACACTGCCAACCTGGCAGCCTTCCTGGTGTTAGACCGGCCTGAGGAGAGAATTACGGGCATTAATGACCCCAGGGTAATGACCCCTTGCTTGCTTTTCCTTTCCCTGTCCACTTCTGGGCAGAGATGCAGGAGATGCCTCCAGTGGGTATCCTCTGGTTCATCTAATGTGACTTGTAGTACCCAGAGCCCTGCTTTAACATGGCTGTGGGTCTGTGCCAGAAGGTCAAGCCCTGGGTTGCTCTGCCTGGGGCTGTTGCTGGTGGGTCTGAGCCCTTGTGCTGGGTGGGAATGGACAGACACAGGGAGGGCTCAGCAGGAAAAGAACTTGTCCAGAAATAGCAAGTACCCAGCCAAACTGCCTGCCAGTTCCTGGAGAGCCTGCACTAACCAATGAGGAAACAATTCATTATGGATGAGTTATAACTAATGAAATTGTCCCTGCGGTGCAGTCAATACTCTCAGCAGATACCAGCATGCCTCAAACTCATTTTCTGCTCTGGCAAGGACACAGCCACAGCTTATCAGCTCAGACACACAGGAATGTACCCCACAGCAGCGCTGACTCACAGCTTCCCACACTCTGCTGCATCCTCTGCCCATGGGACTTCCAGCCCCATGGCATCCACAGGCCTCCTGCATCCTCAGTGCCAGGGTGACCCTGTCCCATAGCATCCCCTGCCCCACCACCATGGTCCCAGAGCATCCACTGCCCCATGGCATCTTCAGCTCTGCTGAGGAGATCAAGGTCTTGTTTGGGAAACAGATCACTGAAGAGATGGGAAATAAGGAAACACAGCTTTGGGGTAAGCCAGTTTGGTTGGTGAAGGACAGAAGAAATAGGAGCCCTGCCCTTGCCTTTCAGCTGCGCAACCCCTCTGATAAGTTCATCTACGCCACAGTGAAGCAGAGCTCAGTGGACATCTACTTCCGACGGCAGGTGGAGCTGAGCACCATGTACCGGCATATGGAGAAGCACAACTATGAGAGCGCTGCCGAAGCCATCCAGGCAGTGAGGGACAAGTGAGTGGGGCCAGCACCCTGCCTGGCCGTTCTGGGAAGAGTTTGGGGGAACTGCAGTTTTGTGGAGCAAGCAGGGCCGGTGCAAACCTGGAGGGAGCTTCAGTCAAAGCATCGCTTGATGGGACCTGCCCAGTTGGTGCTGGGTGGGATCTTCCTAGTTCTAGTGTGTCTGAGGTCTCTGGATGAAGAGCACAAGGTCTGCATGGGGAAAGGCACAGCTGGAGCCCTTGCCCTGGTCATGGTCTCCCATATCTGGTCTCTGCACTTCCTTCTGTGCAAGGCTGGGTGACTTCAAATCCCATGTAAACCCCTCACACTCTTCCTCCAAAATTTTGCCAAGCCCTTTGCCTCAAGGCAGCACAATTCTGCTGAGAGAAGGGTGATGCTAATCAGTGCTTAAATTAGGTCTGGGAGCACCCTTGCTGCTCCCACAGTGACTGCAGACAAGCTGGGCTGCCCAACCTTACCTGTCTGTTCTCTCTTGCTGTCTAGCAAGCTCCACGCCTTCATCTGGGACTCGGCGGTGCTGGAGTTCGAAGCCTCCCAGAAGTGTGACCTGGTGACAACGGGGGAGCTTTTCTTTCGTTCCGGCTTTGGGATTGGGATGCGCAAGGACAGTCCGTGGAAGCAGAACGTCTCCCTGGCCATCCTCAAGTCCGTACACAGCTGTCGTCATGGGGCGGGCTCCAAATGCTGCATGTGTTAGCACGCAAGTAGCCTCATGCCAGGCACTGCCACCCCCACCCTCCAAACCCTCTGCAGGGAGAGGGACTCCGGGGGCTACTGTGTCACTCCTGATGAAGGGGATGTGCCTGAGTGACCACAGTCTTAGCTCCAGCTTGCAGGGCTGGGGGAGCAGCACAGGACTTGTGGGAGGGAAAAGCAGAGCAGCGGTGGCCACAGGGAGGGAGCAGGAGCCACACTCGGCCACAGGAGCAGAGGCAAAGCTGGCAGAGAGCAGCCCGGGGGCCATGCAGCACCAGGTCCTTGTGACCAGGGCCAGGCTGCAGCAACAGGCAGGGGTGCTGACATTCTCCCACTTCTCCCTGTGAGCTCAACCCAGTCAACAGCACTGCACTGCCCTGGCTTGATCTTCTGCGGGGTTTTCTTTCAACTCTGGCTATTCCTGTCAGACAGAGATATGTCAGGACCAGGGTCTGATGAGTCCAACTAAGGCTTTTATACCAGCATTAGCCTGCAGTGTGGGGTGCCACAAGTCAATGTGATATTATGGGTAAAAAGAGATTTCCTCATATGTTTGGAAATGCCACACTTATTGCAGACAGAGGAATATGGTGATGAAGTAACAGGCAGCTGGGAAGCAGCAAGTGGAGGGAGGGAAACATGTGAGATTCATTTTATGGAGAGACAGGGTCAGAAGCCACCAGGGTCCTGCCCAAGATGCAGAGATGAAAGGCATGAGAGAGGGGATGTGGAAGACACAGACAGGACCCATCGGGACATAACATAGGGATCCATGGGAGCCTGTCTTACCATGGGGATGGGTGACAGTGGGACAGATGAGATGTGAGACAACAACGTGAGAAGCCTGGAGAGGCAGCAGGAGCCCTTGGTGTCCTCCTGGGAGAGGATGGGGAAGCCCAGGGCTACAGGTGGCCCAAGAAGGAGGTGAGGATGTGCCAGGAACAAGTGGGAAGAAGGTGCAAGGGAACCCATGGTGGGACATGTGCTCTGTGCAGACCTCCTCCCCACTAGCTGTTCAGGCAGAAACAGGTGCTGCAGGGACAGGGTTTGTCTCCTCCAAAGCTGTGACACCAGGTTGCTGGGGAGTCCCAGCCCTCGCTGTGCACAGCAGGGAGCTGCCAGGCAGCAGTTTTCCCCTGCCCTGACCTAGAAGGTGCTGGTGATCACCAGACAGGATTGGGGTCCAGCATTGCCTAGGCTCCCGAGTGGCCCTGGCAGGGGGAGGACCGTGCAGGTGGGCACCAGGGATGTGATTCATGTCAACTACCTGCAGCCTGTCTCCAAGCACACTCTCAGAGCACTGCCTACACCCATCAGTTCCATCCCCCTCCTTGGGAAATGAGCTTACACATAACTTTTTGGCAGCAGCTGGCCAGCTATCTGGCTCTCAGACACAGGGGGTTGGCACCAGGCAGTGGTGGATGCCTCCTCGCACCTGCTGCACATGATCTCATGGTAGCACTGACTGTGTGCAGGGCAGCTTGCAAACACATGCAATACAGACAGCCACTGCAGACAGGCCACACGTGCTCTCTCTATGCAAAAGCCATACATGCACGTGTGTGTGCACACACACACATCATCAGTTCGTGTGCTTGTAGGCTGCAGGCAAGTGCAGAGTCCTAGGATGGAGAGCACAAAGGCACAAAGAGCATGTGCCCCAGCTGCCTGTGGCTAGTCCCCAGTGCCTACTCTGTCCTGTTTCCTTGTGCTTTCAGGTCCCACGAGAACGGCTTCATGGAGGATTTGGACAAGACTTGGGTGAGGTATCAGGAGTGTGATTCCCGTAGCAATGCCCCAGCAACACTCACCTTTGAAAATATGGCAGGTTTGTTCTGCAAACCTCTTTCTTCCTCTTCGCTGGGTAGCCTGCTTTCACTCAAGACATTCTCCTCTCCGGGGCTCTCCTCTCGGGCCAAAGCTCTGCTTCTTCTGGGTTTGTGCTTTCTGGGTTTGTGCTGGGAGGCTGCTGTGTTGGGCTCCCATCCCACCTTGTCTGAAACAGCTCCACGAAGCTTCTCCCACCTTCCCTGGGTGGCTTTCTCATCGGTGGGGATGTCCTGCTTTGAACATTGCTCCCCTCCCTCTGCTCTGGCCAAACTGCGGCTGTCACAGTGAAATCAGAGCTGTCGCCAAGGCAGAGAGAGGGGAGCAGCACCTCGGGGTAAGCGAGAGCGGCCGCGGAGGCAAGCGAGGACGCTGCTGCAGGAGGGAGCTGGTGGTGAGGGGCAGGCCCCCAGCCCTGAGGAGTGTGTCCTGGCTGGCCCTGGGCAGTGGGCAGGGGGCAGGAGGAGGATAATCGATACGGAAGGGGTTGTTGTCCCCTTTTGCAAAGAGTTTCCCTAAGACGGGCTCTCCCTTTGCAGTGAGGCAGCGCTGCCGGTCCTTCACCCAGCCAACACAGTGATGTGGGATGAGGGGTGTCCAGTGAGACCGCACCCTTGCCAGCACCACAAGCCAGGGCAGAAGCACAGAGAGAGGGGGCACTTTGTTCGGTGTCCTCAAGACACCACTCCCCAAATGTTAGCCCCAAGGGTTGCAGCTGGCCAAGGACAGCCCAGAGAGCTCTGTGCATGGCTGTCCTTCCTGATGAGCCAAATGGGAGCACCAGAGCTGGGTTTCTGGTGCAGATGACCCTACAGCCCCAGGGGACGGGGTCTGACCTGGGGCTCGGTGCAGCACCCAGCACGCCATGCCTGCCCCCAGCATTACTGCAGCACAGCCGCTACCCTGTGCCCAACTCACAGGAGCTTGCACGGACATCCAGCGACCCATCACCTTTTTGCCCATCACTGCGGGTGCCCAACCTGCAGCGCCTGCCCTGCTCTGCTGGGTTTCCTTCCACGGCCCCTCCAGGACTGCGGGGGGATGGTGGGGGGCCGGGGGGACCCCGGGTTGGCAGATACTGCTGTTGCTGAGCGTGATACAGAGGAAATGAAGTGTCATGGTGTAATTTCCATTGCCCCCTGTAACTTTCCTGCTTATTTCAGGTGTGTTTATGCTGGTGGCTGGAGGTATTGTTGCCGGGATATTTTTAATATTCATAGAAATAGCTTACAAAAGGCATAAGGACGCGCGGAGGAAGCAGATGCAGCTGGCGTTTGCGGCCGTTAATGTGTGGAGGAAAAACCTGCAGGTAGGACAAACCGTTTTTAGAGCAAATCTCCAACAGGTGCGTTTTCCATTCCTTCACCAAATCAGTGAATGCAAAGCTGTGGATTAGCATGGGGCCCTCTGTCCCCCACCCCACACCCCAGTAACTCCAGCTGGGCATTACTGAGTGCCTAGCAAGCTGTAGGGTAGGGTCCCTGCCTTGTACCCAGGAGCTGCCCTTGGCCGATGCCATCTCTTCCGAGAGGTGTTGTGCATAGCTCCAACTGGGACAGAGACCCGGCCCAAATACCCCCAGCTGTGTTCAGGATGGGGACTTCGCTCTGCTGGGGACCATATGCCGGAGCCATGTCTTGCCCTGGCCAAACAAGCGGTGCCAACGCGGCTCCCTTTGCAGACTATCTGCCCTGCAGCCTGGTTCCAGCTGCGCTCACCAGCAGACAGCCGGGAGGGTTAATCCCCTGCCACTGAGCAACCATTGCTCTAGCGATGGTTTCCATCACCTCCCCTTTCCTGCCCACTCCCTGGGGGTGTGGTACCCCTTGTCATACCCAGGACCGACTCCAAAAAGAGGTGGTGCGTGCTCTTGTCATTTGGAGACAAGGACATCTTCCCACACGGGAGCCAGCAGTGCCGGTGCCTGTCAGTGCCAAGGCTCCCCTGGGCCCCTTCTGTGGGGCCATTGCTCTCCCCCGCTTCTCCCACCCCTGAAATACCCCCATGCCACTCAGGCAGGGGAGCCCGAGATGGTCAGTGGTGCCTGGCAGTGACGCTGAGCTGTGGGCATGTCTGTGGGCCACCAGCCTCACATTTCCCTTACCCCATCGCTTTTGGGGCTGAGCTCCGCAGTGCCCCTGAACCCCAGTTTAGGGCGGCTGGAGGCTCTCTCTCAATTGCCCAGGCTGCTTTTCTATCCTGGGGAAGCAAACTGGCCTTCAAAGAGCAAGAGATCCTTTAGGCAACTAAAGGAGACTGCCGTTCGCAGCAGAGCCAGTGAATAAAAGAGAGAGAATGAGGCTCGGGAACCCCAAAATGAGCCCTGAGCAGTGGCCCTATGGGAGCAGCGCTGGCTGGGGCGTGTGGGTGGGCTGCCCGGGTGGAAGCGACCTGCCCGAGAGCAGCGAGGGGAAGCACGAGGCCAGGCTGCTGTATCCTGAGAGCTCGCTGGGTTCAGTTCACTGATAAGAGTCTCGGAAAAGCCATTTCTCTATTTTTTTTCTTTTTATTTTTATTTTGCTTCCAAAAAGCAGCAGCACCGAGGGGTTTAAGGCTGCTGGGACAGAGCACACTAGTCGCACTGCCATTTTTCACTTGCCAACCTTCTAGAAAATACTGCACTGGGTCCTTGGGCAGAATCTGTGGGACTGTGAGCAAAGCATGCTGCCCTGTGGGGGTAAACAGCCTCATGGTAAAGAGCCGTTTGACATTGTAAGACTTTTCCACAGGAGGAAACGTCAGAGCACTAGTATCTGGTACATTGCTAGAAGGTAGGCAAGTGGAAAGATTTATTTGTTAAAACAAACAAACAAAAATAATGGTTTTTGGGATCACAGTTTTGCCATGGCTATTTCCTGAGATGCCATGGAAGAAAAAGACATTTCATTCCATTCATCTTGCTTTCCTTTCCGTTTGTGCATGTCCGCAAAAGAGAGAACTGAGAAGGAGGAGCAAATGTATCCCCGAGCATGCTCTACGCACCAGCGGGATACATTTTGGTTACCCCCGTGCGGTAGCAGAGCCAGACCTGGTCACTCCGTCCCCCGTCGGAAAGGTCACACTCATTGGCACGAAAGCAATTGGGGAGGAATCGTTCTCAGCACCCGCCGCAGAGCGCGGCCGGTCCCCACGGCTCGCTGCCCCCGCACCATGGCGGCTGGTGCTCCCAGCCTGCGCTAACCAGGTCCGACTCGCTAACACCAATGGCTACATTTTTCAGTTCTGTTTCTCTTTGAGTTCATCCTGACCCCGATGACATCATAGCGCTAACGCTTTGCCTCCTCCCTTTCTTTTCCTTTATTTTTTTCCTTTTCTTTTTCTTCCAGTTTCCTTTTTTTTAAACCCGTTTTACTTTGAAAAAAAAAAACAACCAACCAACCGCTCACCACCAACAACCACGTTCGGCTTTGCACAACTGCGTCATTTAAATTTTTGAATACATTTTTTTACAGAATATTCATACAATGACTTCTCTTTCAATGCAGTCCTCTCTCTCTCTTGTGGCACTAGGATTCAGCCTCAGAAAAGGCCCTGAGCAATTTTTTTTTAGTGGTAGGTGCAGCATCTCACCTCTCGGTCTAGCCAGGATAGCGGTGGAAGCGAGGGGCAGGGCGCCAGGCAGAGCATCCCCAGGAAGCAAGGTCATCTGTGCTGGCCTGGACACAGACACCCAGGAGAGCAGGGCTACTCCCCAAAGGGTTTCCAGCGCTCCAGATGCGAGGCCGGCCCTGTAGCTGTAGCAGTGTGGTGGCCGTGCTGTAGCTGTGGGTCACGAAGGCCCTTGGAGGACTGGGAGTGACAGGACACCTCCAGTAGCTTTCGCACCTAAATGAAGGACATGACACGGGGCAGTATTCGAATAGATTTAGCGTTTCCAACAACACACTAGAGATCTAATCACTTATACATATTCATTTTAGGATAGAAAAAGTGGTAGAGCAGAACCTGACCCTAAAAAGAAAGCCACTTTTAGGTCCATCACCTCCACCCTGGCCTCCAGCTTCAAGAGACGTAGGTCCTCCAAGGATACGGTAAGAGGAAGAAGAACAATTCTGCCCTCTCTCTTTCTCTCTCTTTCTCTCTTCTGCCATCCCATCGACTGCCACACACCCATCCCGAAGCTGCCAGTGTACATGCATAGCTCATGTTCGTCACCAGTCAGTCAGTGAGTCAGTGAGTCAGTCATCCCGTGTACCTGAAAGGATGCTGGGATCCTGGAGGGCAGGCAGGAGGTGGCTTGGAGTCCTGTGATGAGTTGGGAGATGCAACCTAGTTTTTGTTTTGTTTTTTGTTTTCTTTTTGCCTGGATGATTTCTGATGTTCCTCTCTGTGCTTCGCTCACCTTACTGGTGCTGACCTCTTGAAACTGATGACATTTTTTTTTTTTTCTGTTCCTGAGTGTTCCTGTACCTGTTCGTCATTGTATGCCTAAAAACAATCACCCTGATTTAATTTGGGCACCGTGTCACCTCACTGAGAGCCATGCGTGTCACATTCTCTACATGTGATTTTTGTTTGTAACAATTAGCATTCGGGACGTAGTCCTCGGCACAGGAGTGACAGCTGTCTCTGGTTATCGTCAGCAGTAATGCAGCTCTAGAAAAGAGACACAAAGGCTTGAAAGAGGAGGTTGTTAAAGACCCAACCTTGGTTCAAACTTGTGCTTTTCACCTCAGAGTAAAACTGCTCTCATGTAACCAGAGAAAAATTCCAAATTGCTGCCTCTAAAGCCAGCTGTTTCCAAATGTGCAAATGTGTCTGCTCGTGCTGGAGCTTCAGACACTCTTCAGCGTCAGGTTGGGCTGTTGGTCTGTCGGACTGAGCCGGTGTCCCTCTGCATGTTGCCGTCTGTTGTATGACACTCTGCACTGTGGCTACTCTGTTGTCTCGTGTGGCAGCGGTCGCTGCGTTTTGCTGCCCGACCTCCCAGCGCGACGGGCTTGCCAAAATCGCCTCCCTGGGGCGACCGGTGGGTTTCTGCCCAGGGTTGCTCAGAGCAGGCTCCCAGCCAGGCTGCCCGAGGCGCAAGGCACGGCGGGGACGGGGGGACGGCGGCAGCATGGGGAGATGTGGCCCCCCCCCGCGGTGGGGTGGCCTGTCCCCGGCCACAGGCTCGGGGCGCCTCGGGGAGAAGCATGCAATATCGCAGGGGGTCTCGGGGCCACGGCTCTGTGTGCAAAATGGAGGCAGCTGCCTTTGACACCAATGCAGGCACCATCCCAAGAAGGTCCCGGAGCACCCCTGAGACATGGCCCCGGGGACAGCTGAGCACCAGGCTCAGCTGCCACCCTCTCACACAAAGCGCTCCTCTCGCTGACACCTCAAAGCCTGGCAGGCGAGGGGGGGACACCCACACTCTCCCCACTCATCTCCAGTACCCCACAGGGAAGACGGGCATCCCTGTCAGCTCCTGCACTGCCTTCATGACCCCTGGGTGATACCTTGTCCCAGTGATGCCCCCGTGTCTGGGGTCCCCCTTCCTAGTGCTGCACCCCCCAAGCAGCTCTGCAGGAAGGTTGCAGGTTCTGTCTTGGTGGCCTGAACCCCAACCAGGGGAGAGGAGACAGAGATGGCGTGGGTGGTGCAGGGGGGAGAAGGTGGGAAGCGTGAGGAAGAGGAGGGGCAGTTGGGATGCACAGAAAAAAGGGGAGAAAAAATTGAAGGAAGATCTGCTGGGGGGACCCTTAGCATGTCCTGAGTAGACCCCCATGTTTTGTTGTGTTTGAACCATTCCACGATTAGAAAACCAAGGGGTCCTGTCCTGGGAGAGCAGGAGCATCACGGTGCAGTGGACATCTGGGGGGACCAGTGCCCATGGTGGGCACAGGAGAGGGGGACAACCCAGGAACATTGGGATAGTTGGCGTGTGGTGGCCTGGTACTTCCCACATCGCTCCCTCTCCAGGGAAGCATCCTGGGCCTGATCCTGCTCCCTGGTGTGGCATCCACCCTATGCCATGCCACTCCACAGTGCTCTCTGCTCCAGGGTAGGAGCACCCCAATGCCCTGGGCTGACCAAGTCTGGGGCCACTTGTACCAGAGGTCCCATGGGCAAGTGGTGGAGCCACGCTCTCCCCTTCCCTCGCCCAAGACGGGCAAGCACAGCATGGGACTCCCCGTGCTTTGGGTCCTGGTCATGCTTTTCTTGGCACGTTTCTCACAGGCAAGTTGTGGAGGGAGATGGACCCACTCATCCCAGAAGATGGCCCTCGCTTTGGGTGCAGCTGCATCTGTGGGGCAGCTATGGGCAACAATGCCTTGCTGCTTGTGAGCCTGTTGCAGTCTTCTGCCTGCCATGGGGCGATGTGGCTGGGGCCCCAGGACACGTTCCCCAGGGAACCAGGCTAGCTGGGTCAAGAACAGGCTAGTGGGACCAACATCCAAGCCACCATGGCCAAGATGGGAAGCTAGCAGGTCCAAGGCATGGCTATCGAAGGAGGTCTGTGGTGGAGCAAGCTTTGTTGTGATGTCGGGCAGACCTGATGGTTGCTCTGCAGGGTGAGTGGCCAGCAGGAGGGTGCTGCCACCAGCTCATGTCACAGCCTGCCATTTGGTGCCCTCCGCTTTCATGCAGCAGTCCTGGCTCAGAGACCCAATGCCCTCCTGCTGTGGAAGACCCCATGAGTACATAGCATGCTGGGACATGTTGCCCGGGGTCCTTGTAAAGACAAGAAAGCAGCGAGGTGCTCTGTTTCATGATGCTCGGCAGAGCTGCGGGCCCACACCAGGTCTCAGATGGTCAAGGCTTGAGAGCCCATGGGGCTGGAAGGCCAAGCTGACCCCAGCCCCATGGGCTCTCCTGGCTAGTGAGTGAAAGATGCAAACCTGGTGGCCTTGCTTCTTTCCTTTTCGTTGTCGGGAGTTTTAAAAATGGATTCTGCTCTGCAGCCCTGCAGAATGGTCCCTCAGGAGTGCCAGAGAGACAGGCTGGCACCATGGAGCCAAGACAGCCCTGGGAAGCTACCACCCCACTCTGAACGTCCTAGCGCCCACCATCACCCGAGCTGCACAGCCTCTCCGCGGCACATCATCCCCACCGCCCCAGGAGGAGATGCATGTGTTCCCCATAGGCAGCTCCTGCAACTCGAATAGCACTCGCAGAGCTGACGTACTGCCATCCATCGCAGCCACCCACGATACTGCAACCCCACAGAAGCCATGTGAGACGCATAAACCACACAGACACCTTCCGAGCCGGCACATTTCGTACAGACACGTAACGAGGTGCACAGGTCCCTTAGCCCCCCCACTGCAGCCGTCATCAAGCCCCCACAGAGTCACACTGCCAGCCCACGGGCGTCCCCCCCAGACACAGCATGACACACATCCCACGTCACCGCCAAGCGAGGGCCCAGCACTGCAAGGCGATGCTCGCCCTGCAGCCATGGGGATGGTGCCAGAGCTGGTCGAGAACCGAGTAGGTTCATGGAAAAAGTCATCTTTTCAGAGAAGAATCAGCCGACCCAAAGCCAAATGCTTCTTGGCTGAAAAACAGCCTAGTTTTTGGCCCAAAAGAACCAAAAGTAGGTCAAGGACAACAATTTTCTTTTTTTTTTTTTTAAAGGAAAGTTGACATTTTCTACAGCAAGATTGCATTTAGCTGGAATCCTAAATTTTAATTGAAAAAAAACCAACCTCAAAATTCTTCCAGAAAATCTTCCACCAGCCAGGGACTACCATATAAGCCCAGATTAGGTTGAAGTCATTTTTAAAGACATATTAAGTTCTTGTCTATATTTTCTTCCTGGTTGTCATTTAAAGTTTTTGGTGCCTTCACTTCACTTCCATACCTTAACATGTTTGAGTCTCTTCTACGGTTAATATTGATTAATTTCTTGGCTTTATAATGTTTGGTTTGGGGATAGTTGCACCATCCCTGTAACATAATTTACCCTAAATTATTGATATGTGCTTCTAGCATTAGTTCTACTTTAACATAGTTTTGATATGACAGTTTTCTTGCTTTTTTTTTTTCTTTTCCTTTTTTTTTTTTTTATTTTTTTCTTATTAAAAATTGCATGCATGAATTCTACACAAAAAAAAGTAAATGACAATGTTACCCTGTGATAACTCTGTGATTGGAGGAGATATGCTTTCAAATCAAAAGCCATGCTCTTGTATTTTAATTTTTCTGGCTAGATTCCCCACTTCGCTTGGTTATTTTAGAGTTTCCCACCCCCTGAGCTGTGCAGAGAGGCCAGAACGCCCCAGCCTGCCCTGCTAGACCTCCAGCTTTCCACCACACACGTACACATGCACCAAGGCACATGCACACACACATGCACACACCACTCCCCACCCCGCCACCCCCACCCCGGCTTGCATCAGGCAGGATGTTTAACAATGGACCTTTCTTCTGCCTGTTGCTTTTTGTATCTCAAGTTCCTCCTTCTCCACCAGTGAGTCACCCAGCCTCTCCCCTTTCCCAGCTGCCTCTCCTCCCTGCAAGAATCAAGCTTCATCCCACAAGCACATGCCTCCCGGCCATTTTGCTATGGAAAGGAAAGATTGCATTTAGCTGGAATCCTAATTTTTCGCAAGAAAGGGGGCAGCTGCACCCATTTTGGGGAGAGAGGGGCGTTTTTTGGTGGACTCATTAATAGCCACAAAAACTCCCCCCAGGGTGGCAGAGTGACTTCAGGATCGCCTCGGCCGTTTTCTGTGCAAACGGGTGATGGCCAAGGTGTTGCCGCTTAGCAAAGAAAGGCCACAGCAGTAAATTTCTCAGAGGCTCCATTTTAATCTTAGCTAGTCCCCTAAATAAAAGAATGATCCCGTGAGATCCTCCCTGGGTGTCAGCATGTCCCCCAGCATGTGTACCAGAGAGAGGGACCATGCTGGCTCCCGCCCCTGCCCCAGCATCTCCCCAGTGAGGGGTCCTGGTGAAGCACAAAACTGGGCAGAGCAGGGCAGCCCCAAGGACCCCACACAAGGCTTGGGGGGACCCCAGACCTCCCTGTGGCAGGAGGCAGGGTGTAGAGCCACGCAGGGTAGCCACAGTGCCAGAGCCACCAGCAGCACCACAGGGGCCACAGTTACTACTGACCAACACAAGACAGGTAAAATCCTGTCACTGAGGACCCCCCCGGGAGCCTAGCAAAATGGCAACCTTCCTGGGCAGTGTGGTGCAGGGGCCAGGCAAGCGTCACTGGAGAGGGTCTGCGCTGCAACACAAGACCCACTGAGACCCTTTCCTGCCCCAGCACCCATTTAGGTCCCCAGACAGCAGCACAAGATGCTCCATGCTACCCACTCTCACAGCAGGGCTGGTTAGGGCTTCGAGTTCAGGGTTTGGAGTTTGGAGAGTGGAACTGGGAGAGGAAGGGAGTATGGAAGGAGTAAGAGAAAAAATAGCTTCCCTGTTGTAAATCCCTGCCCGGGGAGGAAGGACTTTTTTTTTTTTTCTTGTCTGTTGAGGGGTATTTCTGCTCTCCCCATTTGCTTGCTGGTGGGACTGCAGCTGGAGAGTCTTTCACAGGGAGCATTTTGCAAGCTGCCCCACCTGCAAGGAGCGCAGAACCCCAGATCCAGGCCACATCCCCAACACAGGCTGTATTTTTACATCAGCAATTGACACTACAGTTTATCACAAGTCAACCACACCACACATCTCCTCACCTGCATGAAAGGATAGTCAAAGCAGAGTCATTCAAGCAAGGAGGTGAAACGCCCTGGCCTCAAAGCACAGCTTGATCTGGCACCAGATAGATGCCGAAACCCAGCCAGACCCTCCAAACACAGGTTCAGCCGTGGGCTGGGCTGATGAGTCACAGGCTTTGTCTTGTAGCTCTCCCAGAGCAGAGAGGGGGTCGCTCAGCAGGTGACGTGGCTGCCACGCTCTGCAGAAGCTGCACCACGCTCCTGGGCATCCTCCCTGCCCAGCTGCAGGGTGCTTGGAGAGTGTCTGCAACGACCTCTGCACAAGCTTGGATTGCTCTGGGAAGGGGACATCAGCCAGCAGCAGATTTTGGACTGTTGCATCACCCCCAAGAGATATCCTGTAGGGACACATGGGATGTAAGTAGAGGCGGGGTCAAGTGCCAGAACTGCCTGACACTTCTTTCTTCTTGTCTGTGTATTTGTGTGTTGCAGCAATATCATCCCACCGACATCACCGGCCAGCTCAACCTCTCCGACCCCTCAGTCAGCACTGTGGTGTGACCTTCTCCCCGAGGGCCATCAGTCCTTGCCCAACACAGTAGGAAGGCACAGCCAGGACTGCCTTTCAAGGGACACTGATGGGTTCTTCTGGGTGAGATGGGAGGAAAGCATCCTTCATCCATACACAGTGACTTCATTGTATATCTCCCTCCCTTCCTAGGCCTGCTGCCATGCTTGTGCCCCAGAACGCACGGCAGAACCAGGACACGGTTTGGAATTCACTGTACAGAGATAATTGCTTCCAACCAGTGCTGTTGATAATCAGTATTGCCACTGATTGGCTACATGCAAGGGGAAAGGACTTTGAAAGGCACAGGGTGTCTGCTCTCCCACAGCAGCAGGGAAGAACTGGTGTCAGACTACAAACATGTGCTTCACTTTGCAGGCTTCAGGCTTCTCGGCACACACACAGCCCCCGAGACATGTGTTCCATGTCTCCCACCACCCCGGAGGGCTCCAATGTGATGTGGTCATGGTCCTGAGTGGCTGGAGGAGCCGTTGCAGTTTGACAGGTTGGGCACATGTTCCTGGTGTGCTGAGTGACCCCCGCCTCTGCAGCAGGGGCTGAAAGATGTGAGTTCTTCTCCTTGCAGAGGATGAACCCCCTGTTCCTCCCTCCCATCAGCCCGTGGCTATGTCCTGGCTCCTATACGTGGTCTGTTTGCAGCAGGATGCTCCCAGCCCTGCAGCCCACCCTCCTGTCCTCACTGTGGTACTCTGGAGCCACCAAGATCCTGGCTACCCACCTCTCCTGCACAGAAGACATCCCCAGGACATGGCCATGACCAGCATGTAGCTCTTACACCATGACTTTCCTGGCCAGGAACATCTCCATGGGGAATGGCTCTGGATGGTTGCATGGACTTTTAGCCAAGCTCCACACTGCCTCAGCACCAGCAATGCAAGGAGAGATGCTGCTGGCCGGACGTGGATTGCTGTGTGCTGTGGTGTCTGCAGCAGCCACTTAGCTTGCCTGCAGTACCAGGGCACCACAGCAGGCACTGGCAGATTCCCTGCCACACTCACCTGCAGTTCAAGATTGCCAGTAGCTCCTGCAGCATCCCTGAAGACCCAGCTCATGTGGCTGCATCTGTCTGAACCTGGAGATGTGGAAATCGCATCCCAGCCTGGGAGAAGGGAACTAAACAAGACAGGCTGAGCTGTTCCTCCCCACACCTTCCTCCACTCAAGGATACGTTCCCATGTGCCAGCATCCCTGCACACCCTCTCCATGGGCTCTGTGAGTGAGTGCAGAGACACCAGAGTTGGGGAAGTATCTGGCACCAGCCAGGCTGGTGATGAGCAGCTACGGCAAATGCACGGGCAATATCACATCCCGCCTCCTGCGAAGGCGGAAAACCCACCTGCAACGTGGTACCAAGTCCCAGCAGCATGAACTGCCTTCTCCTTGTCCCCACTGAGCAGATGGGGCTTCTCCCTGAGGGTCAGCAGACTTTGCAGGCAGGATTTTCAGACGGCAGCTGAGGTCTGTGAGCATCGTCCCACTGGCTGCAGTGGCTCCATCAAGTTCATCTTGCTCCAGCTGAGAAATTGGACCCATTCTACTTTATACGTCAATGTAACATTAATACCAAGTTTTTGCAAGAGCTCAGTAAAGTCTAGACTGGATCATGAAATGGTTTATTCGAGTGTCATGTCCTTCTTTCTGTCTCTGCCTTGTGGGAAAGCTGGCAGGGAGCCCTGTGCTGAATCAGAGCCTCACCCAGCACTGCTGCAGGGTTGGTGGGAGGTGATGGGACAAGGCGGGATGGAGAAGCTGGTAGGGAGAAAAGCCAGGAGATTCAGGAAAGATTGGGAGGGAAAGGGCATCACCATTCCAGGTTCCAGGCTGATGATCAACCTGAACAGCCAACGTGGGGAGACAGGCCTGGCATCTGGGGGCCAGGAACAGTCTGAAACGGCCCAAATGCCAGAACCATGCCAGCTGGCTCTCACTCACCTCCATTCAGGGGAAAATGGTCCCCTGGCACTGCTGTGCTCCCCACCTCCTGGGAGCAGCATGGGGCACTGCCACTGGGGCTGGTCTTTGGGAACAGAGGACCAACTACAGGGTTGAAGGTGCCCTGAGGGATTTGCAAAACAGAGAGGCAGCTCTCCTGGGGGGAACTGAAGCAACATCACTCATTCACAGCATGCTCCCCATGTGCTGACAGTACCAGCCCAACCTCCGAACAATCTAGGAGGAGGAGTGGGGCCCAGGTGGCCATGCAGAATGACAAATGGGGTCCTAGATCCGAATGGCAAGCTCAGGCCTTCTCAGGAAGGACTGAGGGCTGTTGTTAGGGAGGGTCTGGGAGAGCTGGGATTGCTCCTGGTAAAGGCACTGTGCAAGGGGCTGATCCTGGCAGAGGTCCTGCAGCTGTCCCGGGTGCAGGGCTGGTAGCACTGGAGAATCTGCTGCTTTCACCAGTTCCCTGCAGCCCTCACTGGAGAGAGGCACTGCAGGAAGGATCAAGGAGGGACTGAGCAGTGTAGCAGCACACCAGGTAGTTTTCTCTCTTGAATATAAAAAAGAGAGCAAGCCAAACTACAACTGAGATGACATTTGGTTTATTCTCTGCATGACTTATTTAACCCTTGCCAAGAGCTTGCCAAGGGATTCATTGACCCCTGCCGCATCCCTGGCTTGGCCCACAGCTCTTGCACGGGCAAGAGACTGAGCGAACAGGAGGAGACTGGTGGCCACAGTCTTCTCATTGTGGCTCTTATCGTCTTACAATGGCTAAGAATTCATACCAGAAAGGGATGTTGCTCCTACTTGAGAGATGCTTTTGTCACCCTAGCTTGTGCTTTCCTCTGCAGCACAGCTCCAGCTCCTTCCAGGCTATCTCCCAATAAGCTGGCTAAGCATTTCCATGCAATGCAATGGAGAAGCATTTCCACGGGGAAGGGCAGGAGGCTCAGGGCAGGGAGGTGCAGAGGCAGCCCCAGCCCCTTTTTGTGGGTGATGGGAGGTGAGGCAGCAGCAAAGGCTGCAGGGTCTGTGATGTAAAGCCACACAGGAACTTTTTGTCCCCTTTCCCATCACTGAGTGAACTGTAGTCCTTGGCCTTGGATGAGCTTTAACCTGGGAGAAAAGCTACCGGAGGAGGAATAACTGTGCAGTCTCACCTATCCTTCAGCAGCCCCTTTGCCAAACCACATCAGTGGGAGTTCGAGCTTTGTCTCTTTCCAACCCTCACCCTAAACATTGGCCTCACATTAGATCCTGGTTCTTGGCTGAGCCTTCTCAGCACCAGCAGCCCTGTCTCAAGGAAAAAAAAAAAAAACAACCTATCAAAAGAAACATTTTGTAATTTGCCCTGTCCTTGGGCAGTACATGCAAAGGTCTGGGGCTTTCTGAAAGTCCCATGGGGGATCTGGAGTGCCCCCAAAACATCCAGAGATCTTCAGGTGCACCAAAAGGCATACAGAGAGATCTGGGGCACACCGAAAGGCAAACCAATGCATGTCAGGAGACAACAGATGACATTTGGATGTGCAAAAAGCAAATCTAATGGCTCTTGAAGGCACAGAAAGGCACACAGGCAGCTGGGGTCACTGAATGTCAGATGGTGAGTGTGGGAGCACCAAAAGGCCCAAGGAGGGCTTTGGGGCAAACTCAGAGGCACAGAGAGGCTCCTGGGCTGCACTGAAAGATAAATAGAGACACTTGGGTGTCACCAAAAAGCACACAGAGGCATACAGTGCATCCTGAGCTGCACACTGAGGTCTTGGGCAGCAGAAGGAGCAGGATAGGGTGACCTGGAGGAGAAGGACCACCTGCCCCACCCTAGTAAGGGGATGTGCAGGTCTGAGGGTGCCCTGAGGGAGCCTCCAGGAACACTGAGATCATATGCAGTTGGATGATGCCCTGCAGCAGGTCTGAGCTGGAGGCTCTTCCTCCTGACAGTGTGGAAGAAGGAGTTTGGCATCATGTCAGGAGACTCTGAGAGGAGGAAGAAAAGTGATTTCCAGGAACAGAGCATCCTCTCACTGGTCCACAGGAAAATGTTTGCAATCAGGGTGTATGCAGGCAGCTGGAGAAGGGCATGGACCACAGTCTTCCCAGGGCTAAAGCCTGGTCGCTCTGCCTGAGTGGCCCCTGCAGATGTGGGGTCTTCTCCAGAAGTGGGGTTCCCTGCGCAGGTTGTGGTAAACCACTATGATGGAACCCATGAAAGTGCAGAAGAAGATGCTGGCCATGAAGGAGAATGGTCCAATGATCAGGAAAATGACGTAGTGCTGGGCAGACAGTGAGGTCTCCTGACATTGCCTGAAGGACTCATTCCCAAAGGCCATGATTGGATACTTGTTCAGCTGCTCCGGGAGTCTGCAGAGGAGTGAACTCTTCTCTGGAAGAGAAAAGCAGTGCTGACAGACACACTGGGGGGCAGCTGAGACAAGGCAGGTGTCAAGGACAGAGGGGATGGCAGGTCTGTATGGGACAGATGGGACCAGGGCAAGAGGACGGCAAGCAGGATTACCAAGATCACCCAGGGCAGGGTGCAAAGAAAGGGAGCAGTTGTGGGTTCAGGGCTTATCTACCTCCTGTGCCCTGGGGAGTGGGATGGGATGGGGAGGTGGGGACACTGGTGCAGGGTGCACTGGCAAATAGGATTAGGACAGGACAGTAGATGGGGCAGGCAAGGTGGTGGGCCTGGTTCCCAGGGAAGAGATGTGGGGAGCAGTGAGTAGCCACCTGGAGATGCCACGGAAGGTCCCAGCCAGCACAAGTGACAGGCGTGCACCCAAGATGGAAGCAAGCAGGAGTGGTTGGCAGCAGAGGGAGAGACCTTGTTGGCAGAGCTGTCTCTCACTGAGGTTCATGGGGGAAGAAATGTAGGGTCAGACCCATGTTCATGAGGGCATTGGGGAAGGGGATGAAGGCACCGAGTCCTGGTTGGGTCAGCGGTATTGCCCACCCTGACACAGTCTTTTCCTCCCCCATAAGCTGCCCATTGACCAGCAGGCCTTGCCCACAAACGTGGCAGGACTGGTGCCACGGCTGGGGACAGCACTGGGTGCCTGTCACTGGGACATTGCGTGGCCCTCCTCTCCAGGCAATCCCTACTGGTGAGCATGGACCAAAGCTGGGCACCAGGTACCAGACCCAGGGATGTCTCCACCCAAGCAGACACAGGAGCTGCTATGGCCCAAAGATGGGTCCTGGGGAACCTCGCCATACCCCCACAGGCACCAACCACGCAAGCCCACAGCCAGCTGACAGCCAGTGTGCTGCATCCTGCCTCAGCCCCAGTGGCATGACCAGCCAGCATGGAGCGGGGTGGGGGCTTGGGGACGCGGTCCTCCCGGCACTCACCTTGCACTTTTTCCCTGTTGCGGCTGAGCCAGTGCCAGAGGGGGAGGATGCCGCAGCTGCACACCCAAGGGTTGTCCTGCAGGTAAAGGACTTGAAGCTGAGGCAGGACACGCAGCACCCCAGGCTCCAGCTCCCCCAGCCTGTTGCTGCCCAGGTTGAGCATGGCCAGGTTGGTGAGGGGCAGGAAGGTTTCAGGGCTCAGCACGGTTAACTGGTTGTGGCTAAGGTCCAACTCCTGCAGCGCCCCAAGCCCCACCAGCGCCTGGCTGTGGATCAGCCCCAGGTGATTGTGAGGCAGGCTGAGCAGCAGCAGCCCCGGCAGGAAAGGAAAGGAGTGTGGCCTCAGCATCGTGATGAAGTTGTAACCAAGCCACAGGGTGCTGGTGTTGGTCGGCAGGTTCTGCGGCACCTCATGGAGGGCATGCTTGCTGCAGTCCACCTCCCCTGAGGAGCAGCGGCAGGCGTCAGGGCAGGCTGGCGAGGGCAGCGGGCGCAGGAGGAGCAGGCAGGCCAGCAGTGTGCTGGGGACCCGCCAGCAGCCCATGGCTGCCCGCTGAGGCGGCGAGGGGTCCCCGTGCTCCGGAGCTGGGATTCCCCCCCCGGACAGGATCCTTAGTGCCCGTTGCCTTGCCCAGCCACCCGTCCCTGCCTGGCACCCTCGAGTGAGCACAGCAGTGCTGAGCGGAGGTGCTGGGCAGTGCCTGGCTGCAAGGGGAGCGGGTGGATGTGCTCGGCTCCCTGAAGGCACACGCATTCCCGTGCTCGCTGCCACCCTCCGTCTAAACCTAGAGCGGGCTGTGCTCCTGGCCCCGGTTTTCCTCGGGGTGGAGCTGCACTTTTTTCAGCAAATATTTTTGGAGTGATGCCTGCTCTGGCAAGGTGCGGAGCCGTGCCCTCGTCCCTCCCTCTGCCGGGCACTGCTCCAGCCAGGTAAACAGCCAGCTCTGTGTGGCCTGGCATTAACTGCTTGTGTGTGCTGCAAGCTGGAGAGCTGGGATAAATCAAAACCAGACCCATCTCTTGGCCTCCATCCTCCCCATGGGGCATCCCCCATGGGTGTGCTGCCTCACCAGCCAGGTACAGAGAGGTATATGGACCCAGGATCCCCGTAGCTGGCTGGGGTGAGACAAAGTTTAAATTATATCACTGGCAGGTCTAACCCCATCTTCAGTGCTGGCCCACCATGCCCAGAAGGCCCCAATGGGAAGCCCTGCTGGGAGCCATGGGCCAGCCCACTGAGCCCAGCCTTTAGTCGAGCCCTTGGCTGGGCTCTGTTTGCCCCTGGTAGGAGCCCACAAACTATGCCAAAATGAGGATGGTGGGGATGTGAGGCCCACTGGACACCCTCCTCCTGCCCAGCAGGATCACACATCTGCTGCACACTGGGGGACACCCAGAAACCCCTACAGGTGGAGGTGAGAGAAAGGAGAGCTTGCAGGGTTGCAGTCGCCCAAAACTTGTTTACCCTCACCCTGGAACAGCAGCACCAGCTTGAGAGGGCTCAAAGTCTGCCTCCACCCTGTTTATACCTGCTCCGGTTTCAAAGCCGCCTGAAGCCTCACAGCAGCAGGCTGGAGACAAGAGGTGTCACCTCCCAGCTCTCCCTGTCCCTGGCAGGCTCAGTGCACACCAAGGGGACCAGGGGACATAGCCAGCAGCACCTCATCCCACCCACAGCCTGGAGTGGGGACACAGAGCAGAGACACCATCCTCCACTCATGCTCTCACAGCTCCTGTCCCATTTGGGACGCTGGAGGTCACAGTCCCGTAGGAATCCCTGGAGCCTCTGCCCCACAGCCAAAGGGCTGGAAGGGCAGCAAGGCAGTGCCTGCCCGTGCCCCAGGCCAGGACCAGGATATTCCCAAATCTGGGGCAGAAGCGGCATGCAGGCAGTTTGGTTTGTTTATCTATCCTGCAGCAAACTCGGTTTGTGGCATTAATCCCCATCTGGAAATGATTCAGAGGAATCCTCCAGCCCAGCCCAGCCCTGAAGCAGGGCACAAACCTGCAGCCACGTAGAGCTGCATCACTGGCTCATCCCACCAGCAGCTGTGGGCTATATGAGGACCTGTATTTTTAGGAAGCCCTGTCCCAAAATGCTCTTCCTCCTCAAGGAAGTATTGGCCGCTGCCTGCAGCCACCTGGGATCAGGTGAGAAGTGCAAAATTCACTGAAAAAAAAAACCAACAAACCAACAAAAACCCACCAAAAAACCCACAGCTATTAAAAGCAAGGCCATTTCCAGCTTTTGTGCTCAGAGAGCCCAGGAGGCTGCAAACCCATGTCAGGTCCTCCACCATCCCCTCGCTGCCACTCTGCTGCATCACCCCATGGCACACAGCAGGAGAGGCGTCCCCGGTGTCCTGCTTGGCAGGGACAGCAGCCCAGCCCAGGGCTGGCACCGATCATGCCTGCCCCCACTTCTGCTTCATACACTGGTGGCACCCTGCTACAGTTGCAGTCTGGTGACACTTTGGGGTCTGCTACACCAGCAGTGCCACCGCTCTCCCTTCACACATGCTTCCAGTGCTCAGCAGAGCATGGATCCCTGTCACTGCCCCCTTCTGTGGGATGGGGGGACCCATTACCCTGCAGGAAGATCCCAGGTGACTGTCCCCAGCCAGGGCTTGCACCCACCAGTGCCCACTCCCCTGATGTGATGACTTCTCCTGTGGTTTTGGGGTCCATGCAGAACTGTGCAGCCTGGCCCCAGGGCCAGCACCTGAAGAGGTTGCTCTGAGCACCCACTGTGCAAGGACAGTTTGGGGGGGCCATGCCGAATGATGGAGGTGACCCCCAAGGCATGGGGCCCAACACCAGACCTGTTATGGCCAAAGGGAGCAAATCAGGGTGCCCAGCCAGCACACCAAGACTGTTCTCACAGTGAAGTGATGGAGGGGCAGATAAACTCCTTCAGAGACCAACACTGGCTGGGAGCAGCAAGGATGTACACAGATGCACACAGCAAGGGTCAAGCTTCACAGGTTGGTTCCAGTGGTGGAGCAGGGATGGGAGCATAGAGGCAGAGTCCTGGGCACAGGGACAGGGAGCCATGGGCCTTTGCCACCCTCCACCATCGAAAAGCTGGGACATGGGGCGCTGGGCTGGGCACAGTCCTGCTGCCACCTTTGCATGAAGCCATGCCCAGAGCCAAGATGGGCTCATCACAGATTCCTCCCATCACCCACTTGTGAAATATCTGGAGAAAGTGAGCCCCTGGGCAGCCCCAGGGGTGCATATGAAGACTGAGGGGAAAGTGCTTTAAGACTTTATGTCAGCTTTTATCCCATCCTTAAGGCTTTAATTTATTGCACATTTCCATGTAATTAAAGATCCGAGGCAGGCAGATGTCCAGCCCTTGGAGTCTCTAAACCACACCATGCTTCTGCTGTCCCACCCTGGCACCTCTGCCGTGGGGCATCCCTGGTGGCCCTGCTCCCATGGGTTCTGCTGGGCACATCTCAGAGCTCTGACTTTTTTATAGCAGGTGACACCAAGTGGCAGAATTGTGAATGGGCGCTGTGCACGGTGGGGGTGCTGTGAGTGGGGTGGGTGCTGTGTACAGGGTGGGTGTCGGACTCCTCTGGCTGCGGCCCTGGCACCCAGTGCAGGGGACCGCCAAGCACCAAAACTGCCCAGGGGACATGGGATCACTGCTGGCCCCTCGCAGGCACAGGCTGGGGTCTCCTGCTGAGCTCCAAAGCACAGCCAGTGGTGCCTGATGCTAGGATGTCGCAAGAGCTCATAAACCACATGGAAAACAGAAGCAGAAAAGGGACTCTGAGGAAAAACCGCAAGCACTGCACTGCCCAGGCAACACCAAGCCCTGCCCAAGAACTGTATTAATATCACCCTGGTGCACCTCAGTCCTTCCTCATTTGGCCTCTGTTAAACCCACACCTGGCTGCTGGGGCTCTCATCCTTGTGCTCCCTGTTGGGAGTCAGGCAGGGAAAGCCACTCAAAGACACGACCTGGAAAAACAGCAGAGGGGCTTCTGTACGGGCTGCATGCAGGTGTGCAGACAGGGAGGTGGAGAGAGGATTAGGCAGGAAAACCAAACCTGGCACAAGCCATGGAGCACAAGGCCAAGCAGGAGCTCCTGTGGGCTCTGCCATCTTCAATTTCAACTGTCCAGCTATCGCAGTGCCCAAATTTCTCATGCAGATGGCCAGCAGGGCAAACACTTGAAGGAAAGCAATTCGGTAGGGCAGGTCAGTTCTCCCCATCCCACCCCCAGCACAGGCAGGGCTCTCCCCACGTTAGCCCGAGGCTTACTGACAAATACAACCAACACATGCAACCCAGCAGGGCCAACAGAATGTTGTTTAATAGGCGTGAAGCTTTCAGGGTGCCACATGCTCCCCGGAGCATCACTGTGTTGCAACACTGTGCCAGGCTCCAGTGTCCCCTGCCTGGGGGTGCTCAGTGGGGGTGCCCCTGCTGCAGAGCCACACACATGGAGAAGCCAGAGACTAGAGGACATCCGTGACAGTTGTCAGAGGGGCGAGTGAGCAGGATGAAGGGGTGGAGACATCCCGATCCTCCCCCATTGCACCCCAAATCCCAGCAGGGTAAACAGCAAGCCCTGAGCAAGCTGAAGCCCTTCTCAGGCTGCCAGCACAGCCCCATCACTACTATCCACATGAGGGTCTAGGACATGGTGTGAGGTCCCCAAAAATGCTCCCAGACTGCACTCCAGGAGCTCAGTTGCCCATGTGCCAACTGGCAGCCCCCTCCTCGTGCTCAGCTTTCAAAGGCCGCTGTCACCCCGCAGCAAAGGCACAGCTGGCAGCAGCTGCGTCGGGGGAATGACACCGGCGGCACCGTTTCTTGGCACAGCCCCACTGGCTGCCTGGTGATTGCCTTCTCTTTGCATGAGCCCTTGGTGGCCAAGTTGGGCTGGGACCTGCCAGCTACCCGAGGATGCTCCTTGTCAGCTTTGACAGCAAGGAAGGTGGCCAGGTCGAGGTCGAGCATGGCAACACCACCGCGGGGCGTGGGTGTATTTTGGCGGCACTGAGGGCAGGGGATCCAGCGCTGCTCATTGGCGACGGCATCAAGGCGTTTCAGGCAGGCTTGGCAGAAGGTATGGCCGCAGTAGAGCCGGCGCGGCAGCCGGCCGCACAGGTCGTAGGAGGAGTAGCAGATGATGCACTCAACCCGCTGGCTGCCCTGGCTCGGGGTGTGCATGTGCGCCCCAACACACAGCCCCACATCCTCTGCCTGGGGGCAGCCACCAGACTGGGACATGCTGGAGAGAGAAGGGGGAGAGGAGCCATCAGACCCACAGCCTGGGTGTGGGATGCCACCTCTGAGTGCATCTGATGTGTGGGAGGTTTGGGGGTTGGACCCACGTGGTGGGTTCCCCAGGGCATCACACTCCCTGCCCAACATCCCTGCCTGCTGCCTGCCTGCCCCGTGGGCAGCCTGGCCTAGAAAAGCAGGACTCTGCACTACAGATGGCTCTGCCTGTGTCCAAGGAGGATGCGATTTCCCTGGTGTGACCCTGCGTCTCTGCTAGGAGCTCTGCCAAATGCCCCTTATGTCCCTCTGGGGCCTGGGGCTGGTTGGACCTCAGCAGCCTGCCTGGGCTCTGGGTTGGTGGGGAGTATGGGGTGGGCAGGAGTATGTCAGCCAGGTGGGCAGGGGAGCAGCGTCCAGAGGACCAGGCAGTGCCACAACCCTGCTCCTCGCCAACTCCAAACTATTCTAAGTCACCGTGGCACAGCTGTCAGCAGCAGGAGATGGGCATGAAGGCTGGCAGGGAGGAGTTGAGGAGTCAAACCCCATCTTAAGGGAGAATCCAGTACCCACCAGCTTATTTGAAAACCTCTCCTGGAAGCCACCAAGACACCACTCCCTCTCTACAGGTGACCTCAAGCATTTTGATACGCACAGGCATCCCTCTCCCCTCCTCCCCTGTCCCTACCTGTCCTGAGATGCTCCCCCCAGGGCCTCAAGGGAGATGGCAGAAGGGCTGCACCGTCCCGGGGGGCTGCAGCAGTCCTGTGGGGAGCATCGGGGGCCAAGGCTGCCAGCAGCTCCCCAGCCAGGTCCCGGCAGCTGCTGGTGACTGTGGTAAGAGGACAGGGCTCACTTTTCAGGGACGGAAGCGCTATTGGATCCGCTGTCGGGAAGCCAAGCCTGGGAGATTGGATTACAAGCACCTAGATAATAAAGACCTCTGAAATCTAAGCCCCAGGAGCAGTCATTAACCATCCGTCTCTGCTTCATTAGCAGAAGCAGCCATCTCCCTGTGGCCAAGGAGCTCTGGGCTTCACCATGGGCGGAGAGGGCTTGGACATCAGCTCTACCTGGGCAGCAGCGGCGGAGTCTTTCACATCATGGCCAAAAACATCTGGGCAGATGTTGTCCAGCGGAGACACCCCATCGCACTCCAGGCCACACATCCTCAGGTGGTCCAGGCTGCGGGGACAGCTGCGACCAGAGCAGAGTGAGACTCCAGGCTGGCGGGGTGCAGGGCTGGGGCTGGTGCAGGGACACGGAGGCTCTGAGCTAGCAGTGCCCACGCGTGGGGCAGCTGACACGGACATGCCCATGACCTGCCCCTGCTCTTCCAGCTGGGGCTGCAGGCTCTCTCGTCGGGGGCTGAGTTACCCTCGACTCTGCCGGGGACAATACTCATCATCAGCCTGGGGAGAGCCCAGCACCCCTCGGTGACACCTGCAAGGGGAGGTGACAGCATCAGGGTGGTGGCAGACTCAGTCCTCGCAGCTGCCTTGATCCAGCGGCAGCGCCACAGCCTCTGCACGGAGGGTGCTCCCAGCAGGGGAAGCTTTAAAACGGGGAGTGCGGTCGGGAGACAGAACCTGGAGCCAGGATTCTGGAGGAGAAAAACACATCCCGGAGCCCGGGCAGGACTGTCAAGACACCCAGCAGCATTTCTGCGAGGGAGCAGGAGAGGGCAGCAGCTCCTGCTCCAGGCAGCAGCAGGCACCAACGCAGGCAGGGAGTCAGTACTGCCGGCTTCCCACACGTTTCGGCTACCCTCGGGCTATGCTTCCAGGACCTCCCGGCAGCAAGAATTAGGGGGTTTAGAGACTGAAAGCCTCAGAGGGTCAAGATGCTCTGCAGAAAAATTCGTCCCCTTGGTGCCAGCGCTTGGGAGCACAGCAGCACAGCACCTTTGGGGTGCAGTGGCCACATCCTGACACAGGATCCTGACACATCCCATCCCAGGCAGTGCACATGGGCTGCATGTGCCCATGGGTGCCCGGGCACAGGGATGGCACGCCATGGTAGGGCTTTGCCCTCCTCTTGCTAGGGTGGTGGCAGGCAAGGGATGGCAGCATGGCCAGCTTGGGATGGGACTGTGCCAGGGACCTCAGTTTTGGCCAAAGGAGGAGGTAAGGACCGTGTGCCTGGGTGGATCAGGAAACAGCCATGCAGGATTCTGGCTGTGCCCTGGCAGCTCAGGGTACCACCCTGCATGCCCATGGGGTGGGTGGCAGCACCCCAGATGCTGGCAGCCAGGGCAGAGCTGGTGCCCGAATAGGCACAGTGCTCCCTCCAAGGCCATGTGCCCAGAGACTTGCAGGCCAACCTGCCTGCCCTCCTACCCCACCCAGCCCCTGCCCAGCTCCTGCCCATCAGCCCTGATGTCCCCTTCCCAGATGCCAGCAGATCTGTGTTCTGTGAGGGGCTGTGCCCAGCTGCCCGTTGCACACAAGCCCCCACCCAGCCTGCACCCCACAGGCAGGGCTCAGCGTGGGGAGAGCCTTTGGGTGATGCGGGCTGTACATCCTGCAAGCCGCACAGGGTGACACCAAGGAGCACACTGCCTGAAACCAGCCTTCAGCCCCGGCTGGGCTCTGTGAGCCCTGACAAAACACCTAAATCCAGGCACAGGGAAGGTGTATCTGCCATGAGCAGTGACACACATGGGTGGGTAATGTCTTTTCCTGTTCCCAGGACTCATCCCGAGAGCTGCATGGACCTTTGGCACAGCGGGGCAGGGAGCGGCACCCTCAGTGGAGTGCAAAGGTCTGATTCAGATGAGCCAAAGATGTGCATTACCACCCACACTGCACAAGCAGGAGGCGGACATCACCCAGCTCTGCACCCCTGAGCACTCTTCGAAGATGAAACACACCCAAGAGCACCCACAGGACCCTGCATGCAGTTGCCTGTGCTGTCCAGAGCCCCATCGAGGTCTGGGACAGCATCCTGTATGGCTCCCCCACTCACACCCCCAGCTTTCCTGCTGCCTCCAGCTTAATCATTGCCCAGGTGTCTGGCAGGCAGCTCTGCCCAGCCTCTCCCAGCTTGTTTGGCATTTCCCCAAGGTTAGGCAGAGTGAAAGGCAGCGGTGACACACAGCACTGGTGGCAGATGCTGCACCCTGACAGCACCCTGCCCAGGCCAGGCCAGCACACCCCTCACCCCTCAACCCTGCTGCTGATGCCAGAGGTTCTGCCAAAGGCACCACACACCCCTTGGGGACAGTATTGCCTCCCCAAACTATGTTTGCCCCCGTCGAGCACGTCAGACCCCCAGGGCAGCAAACAGCCTCTGCAGGATGTGGGTTTCAGCCAAGCCAAGGTGGTGACGCCACATCCCTGCCCAGCCATGCAGCGGGTGGGCTCTTGGCAGGGCTGGCATCAGGGCCACAAAAGCAAACAGGGGTGGATCTGCCCATCCCAACGCCAGCACTGCCCACAGTCCAGGCAGGGCGAACAAGACTACTCCTTGTGCAGGGTGGGTAGCACGGGGCTGTGTCCCTGCCAACCTCCTCCTGCAAGCAGCACACCCCTCGGCCACCCGCTGGCGTGGGACCTGGGCCAGGCAGAGCAGTCAGGGCAGGGGGGACAAACTGGCAGGGCTCTACCCCACACCTCTGCCAAGCCACTGCCACCCCAACCCATAAGCTCCCAAGGGTGGCGGGACTTCAAGGCTGGTGAGCTTCCTGGTGGTGGTGGGCTCCCAGGGGTGGTGGGCTCCCAGTTCTGGTGGGATCTCAGTGATGGCGAGATCCTAGTGGTGGTGGGATCCCACTGCTGGTGGGCTCTCAGTGCTGGTGGGCTCCCAGGGGGTCGCAGCCAGCCAGTGCAGAGGCACAAAGCCTACCCAGCTGGCCCAACCAGGAACCTACTCCTCCCCTAGCCCCCCGCAAAGCCGGGTTCTCTCCAAAAGACAGGACGGCCACGCAGCTTGGCAGGGTCGGGCTGACCACCAGTCAGCATCCCCAGGCAGGCAGAAGCAGGCTGGACTGGAAACACCGGGCAGCATTGGGCCCAGGCAGCAGCAAGCTGGAGAGCTCAGCATGCCACTGCTGCTGCTGCAAGTCAGCAGTGCAACAGTTAAGCCTGGTTTTGAGGGGAGAGGGCTGTGTGCCCTCTGCACTGCCCTTATACAACCCATCAGGATAAGCAAGAAGTAACGCGGGAATCCCGGAAAACCCAGGGCAGAGAGAAGAGGCGTAACTTGGCAGGGGAGGAGATGGTTGTAAATTTATTTGCAGCACCCTGAAGTCATCTAACACACGCGCTCTTTCCAAGCCCCTGCCCTCCAGACCAGGCAGTTCCTGCAGCAGCCCTGGTGCTTACGCAGCTGCCGCCTGGCAGCGCAGCCGCCCGTGGGATGGGACACCAACACAACAGCGCGTTTGTTCCAGGTTGGCGGCATCAACCCCAGACAAAAATCCAGCCGGGACCCACCCCAGCATGCTGCGAAGAGGCCAGCAGGCTCCTCCCTTGCCTTCCTCAATGCCCAGGAAGTCGCAGAAGGTGAACGATGGGGATCTGCGTTCCAAATGGGTGCCCCAGTGCTACCTCGCTGCTGGAGCTGGGCCAGCCCTCCACTCCCCCAGCACAGTGTGGAGCTCCGAGCCGGGATGCGGATGGGGTGAGGGGTTGTGCCCAGCACCCTCCAGCTTGGCAGGAGGAACTGAGTGGAGCCAGGGGCTTCCCACGCCTATGCTGTGCCATCAGGTGCTGCTCTGGAGCCCTGACACACTTTGTCTGTCTGTCCTTCCTGTCTCCTTCCCTCTGTCCCATGGGCAGTATGGCCATCAAGGAGGAGCGGTACCCAGCCAGAGCTTGGCACAAGGCACTGCAGCAACCCCAGAACGCCGTGGGTGGGGGGACCGCTCAGTTCTGGGGAGGTAGGTCCTGATCCTGGCTGGGGGCACGTCCCTGGCTCCTCTCCACCATTCTGAGACATCGATGACGATGCCCTCCTCCGCCATGCACACAGAGCTGCCAGCATCCAAACCTGCCCTCCGGCAGGCAGGCAATGCCTCCACCTTCCCAGAGCTGGAGGCTTCCCAGCCAGGGCAGACTGGCAGAGTCAGTGTACAGGATCGCAGGCTCAGAGTGCTGCCCTGTCCCCAGCGTAGGCACTTCGTGGCATCTGCATTGGCACACATCATCCTCAAGGCTCCTGGGCCTCAGCAGGGCAGGGGGTACCTGTCCTTCTCCCCCACACTGGGCTCTCAGGACCTGGCAGGTGCCTATCACTGGCATACCTGGCTGCAGAACTCACAGGTGAAAAGCAATGGCACAGTCCAGCCAGTGCCACCTCCCAGCTGCCAGCTCTGCTGGGTGCAGGGGAAGCTCCCCAAGGTGCCCAGGCCAGGCAACCACATCCCCGCGGGGCCACCTGGCCCCATCCCATGGTCAGCACATCCTGCACGTGCAGCGAGGGCCCTTAGGAGACGACACAGCAGCACTTTCTGCAGCAGGGGTGGCACTTGCAGCAGCCACATCGCCCACCAGCCTCCCACTCTTGGCCCTTGGGTGGCCTGTCCAGGGTGACGGTGTAGAAGGAGTCGGGCGAGTCCCTGTTGGGCATCCTCAGGCTGGCATAGGGGTTGTAGGGGCGGGACCAGGACTTCTTGGTGGAAATGGTTGGGCTGTTGCAGCTGCCAGCGGGATCTGCCTGCTCCTCCACGCCATAGGTGGGCACAGCTGCGGGGTTGGCGATGACGGTGGGCTTGTCCTCCAGGTAGCGAGTGATGAAGCTCTGCTGGAACTGGTCCCGTGGGATGTTGATGCTGGCATAGGGGTTCTCCAGGCTGACGCCGCGATCCATCTCCCTGCTCGTCATCAACACACGCGGCCTGGCTGGCATTGCCCACCTCCTGTGAGACAGAGACCCCCTTAACCCGGGGTGCAGGTGGGGCCAGTGGGGGGTTGTTCTCGCGGCACGGGGAGGTGACCCCCAGCAGACCCCACTGGTTTGGGAGCAGGGTGCAGAGCTGTGCCCCCCCCTCCCTGCCAGCCCCGGGGCACCCTGACATTCAAACTGTAGACTTTGGTCGTGTGGCCCTGATGGCACAGCTGGGAGGGGAGGCAGGAGGGGGTGACACCGGGGCAGGGAGACAGGGGGGTGGGCAGGGTGCTGAGGGGCGGGAGGGGGTGCTGGGTGGGAGACAGGGTGCAAGTAGGGCAGTGGGGTGGGGAGCTTCTGAAGAGGGGGAGACAGGTCTTAGAGGTGGGAGGCAGGCACTGGAGAGAGGAGGGGGGAGAAA